ATTAAGATAGAACCCTCTTAATAGACTCACGACGAGCGTCATCGCTGAGCCCAATCCACAGGGTGCTAACTATTAGGAGAACTTACTGGTCAGAAGATCGAGGAAACCCATTGATTTTGAGACGTTTGATTCATTGGTGGCTAAGACTGAGTAAGGTTGCATGGTAGAAGACTCGTTGTGTGACATGCTTCTATTGGAGTTTGAGTGAAGCGGGTTGAAGGATGATCAAAGACCAGGTTGAGACGTACAACTGGGCAGGGTTGAGGCAATAAATTATGCGGGAAGGGAACGCACAACAATTTATAACATGAAGTCACAGCACAGCGAAGCACAGCACGAATCGTTCAGGTTTTACTTAGCCTCAGATCGAGGTGAAAGGAATGAACAGGCTGTCATGACTGTCCATGCACGCCTCGGCCGTTAGTCTCTAAGCTTCACCACCACGACCAAGCGCCTCCACCGCCACGTAGACACCACGATGCTATCATCCCATCATAGTGCCGCCGCATGATATCGCGTCATGAATTTCGCGTTCCAATCTGGAAGATACCGTCGTCACTATCGTTGAAAGAGCCCCCATAGTTCGTACATCGCGACTTGTTCGATAGGTATTTAAGTACGTCTGGTATTGTAGAGCCTGGTGTGGTCCGAATGACGTTTCAAGGGGCACTCCGCCTCGTTGCGTTGCCTCGCCTCCGGTGACCTTGCTGGTGTCAAGCTCATCCCGACGCCATTCTAGCTTGACCTTGTCTCGGGCTCCAACTCTACCGCGTTTGTGTTCATATTTTTGAGCAGTTAGATCTGACTGCACGGGGTTGCGTCGACCATGGACACGAGCCTTGCTACCCGAAACTTTGCGAACAATGTTCTTCTCAGGGCGTCTACTAGGTCCGTTTGTCGACTTCGAAGCTGGGAACGACGGTGTTACGGAAATCGATACGTTTCTGGAGTTGTGTTCGGCACGGGAGATCCATTCTGCGGATTGATCGTGTGCGCCTTTGCGTCTCTTCCTACTGGGTCCTGGCGAAAGATTTGCGGCGGCGCAAGGCTGTGGGAAAAGCATGAACAAACGACCGCGGTTTAGACATTGAACTGCGACCATTGGGTAAGAGGAGTCTATTAGGGCGATGGTTGGATGTTCAGGACACGAATATCGTGGGCTCCACCAGCTGTCATGAGTTCAGGGTTCGGTGGTAGCTGCGCTGTAGGTGTGCGTTCGGATTTTCGGTAGCCGCGACCTCAGCTGCATAGCCCGCCAAAAGGCAGCCTTCTCGCTGCGCCGCTTTGCTGTAGCCCCTCCACCGTACGACTCTGAAGTCCTGCCATGCCGGATGCACAGCGAATTCTTCGGCACGCATCGTTCACAATTGAGTGTGTTTTGTTCGAGGTTCAAGCAACATAACTTTATGTCGACCCGAAGCCTTTGCGCCCCCCAGGATCGACCAATTAGGAGGACGCTAGTACCAAGACGATCCACTATCGCTGTCTCGAAATGTCCACACTCGTGATACACAGTCATGCTTCGCGATACAGATCAACACAAGGACCCAAGTAAGTCGAATCGCACTGGCGTCGTTCAGTGTTACTTATAGCTACAGCAAGCGAAACATAGCCGAGGAAGCCAACCAAAAGGCAGTGGATGACCTCAAAAGCGAGGTGCAGGTCGTCAGCGTTACGGCGTCGTGGGCTGAGAATCATGCAACGATCGATGAAATCTGAGTGATAGTGCAACAGGTGAAGGAGAAGTATGATAAAAAGTGTGAGGAGCGTACGGGAGCGAGAGCCTCAATAGAGAGGCTGTCCTGTCGTGTGATGTATTACGGAAAGGTCTTCGACAGCCTTGCTCAACACCACCCAGAATACGTCGCGCTAGCTTGGGGTGCTATTAAGCTTGTGCTAATGGTACGTCTAACTAGCTGTGATGTTCCCGAAGTTCACTAGTCTTAGATAATGTGCTAACGCCTGGAAGCGAAGGGTGTAATCGAACGAGCGACCCTGATTCAAGAGATAGCAAAAGCTTTAGTCTCTATTGGGGATGTACTTTCCAGAGCTGATCTGAGCGCCGAACTCTACCAAACTGAATACATGAAAGACACCCTCTCCAGACTATACGTTTACGTCATACGCTTTCTCCATTTGTGCGTCCGCTGGTACAGCAGAAGCTCGCTCGGTCGCTTTTTCCCCGGGCTCAAACACCCGTTCAAGCTCGACTATGAAGATCTAGTCGAACGGATCAAGGCATGCTCCGTTGCCATCGAGAATCTCGCAAATGCAGGATTGCGAGTTGAAGTTCGTGACATCAGCACGATACAGGCAATACATCACTCCGAGCCTATGGACGTCAACAGCAAAATCCTCAACAAGAAAATTCAATGAAACAGCTTCTAGAAGTCGCGACATCAGGGAAATCAATTACTGAGCGAGTTGATATCAATGTTCGTGATATTAAACGGAGCAATTTCTGCATCGAATTTCACCATCTTGTCCAGTTCCTTGCCCCGGAGATACTACCTGAAACGGTGCTACAAAAAGCCCAATCCTTTGCCCGCCGCGACCCAACCATGGCCTTGGCCTCGCACCAGATTATCAAAACCGACAGGATCCTTAGAACCCGGGCGCTCGCAGATCGATCGTCGCTTCTGGTCGTCCGCATGGGTCCCCGTGCACAGAAGCAGGCACGAGAGCTGGCAGCGGATGTAATTTCAGTCCTTACAAAGAATGGCCAGCGCGTGCTGTGGAACATGTCTCTGCCACGGTCTTCGGAGAGGAATTGGACTATGGGCGATGTCTTCAAAAGCCTGCTTCATCAAGTCCTGCGGGATTCCGCGGCACTATTCACACAATTCACGGAACAACTCAACCTAGAGAAGATCCAAGCCGCTCACACCGATAGTGAATGGTAAGCAAACTCCGACGCACGAACTGCCTATGAGACATTCACTGACTTCGCACATCGACCTTCAGGGCCGACCTGATCTGTCTCCTTTTCGCAAAAGTTTCCGATACATTTATCGTCATCGAGACCCAAGACTTACGCCAGGTGCCCCAGCATGATCCCGAATCGGCCAAACGCTTGCTTCAGCTGCTACAGAGAGTTGCTAACCGAGCCGCTGCTGCAGGCAATCCATTGAAGATTCTTCTCGTAGTATATGGAAACGTGCTGCAAGCCCTCACCGCCGCGTCAAAGGACATTGACCTAGTTATCACTTCGATACTACCACCTCCTCCTGTACCCCCGCGCTTGCGGCACATAGCACGTCGAGCAGGGCTCAACATGAGGGGTTGGAAGCTTTCAGACGCCGAAAGTCTGAATTAAAAGCACCATTATGAGCATTGATATCTATGATATGGTGGTATGATTATACATAATCAAGGCAAAACTATATTATCTCCTCCCTATCGCCCTCAACGTCCCCGCAAACCGCCTCCTCGTCGCATACACAAAAGCCATCATCATGACCGCAACCACCACCATAACCATCACCGCTCCCGCACTACTTCTCTGATTCGCAACCACCTGCTTCTTCGCCTCCTTGTAGTACTCGTTCACTCTCTCTTTATATCCTCTCTAAGCGCCGGATCTGGCATAGCCATGATATCTACTACCAGCGCCGTCTAGCCTGTAAAGTCCTGCGTCTGCTGTTCATGTCTGCCAACGGGATCGTACTGCTCCCACACGTACCTAGTCTGCAGCTACGACGAAAAACCAGTGTGCACGACGTTGTTATGCAACTAAAAGTATATCTCGCGGCCTTAATATTGGAGCAGCCTAGATACTTGCGCGAGATGTAGTAGCTGCTTAATAATTATGTAGTTTATGTTAATTCAGATAGGTACTGAATAATATAAATAATTTGCAATGAATTGTTTGCTATTCTGATACTATTCAAATAACTGTTCGTTGAATCCTACTCGAGCGTTACGTGACAGAACCTTTGGTGCGTGATAATTTGTACTGTATGCAACGTCTTTACAAGTATTGAAATCTTGTCGCACTTGGTCCATATGAGCTGTCGCGGCCTCCCAACCATCAACGCCCAATGGCAGTCTCAAGACGTTTGCCAAACTCGGGTCATTGCCACTCACAGCGTCATGTATGACTTTGGCCGCCTTTTCAGGATCTCCCAATTGTTTCCCATGTTTGCCTGTCTCAGACTGAATAGTCGTGGCGACGACGTGGTTGGAGCTTTGTACGGTTCTGAGGGCTCGACGACTGGCATGGCACCTGGGGCGAGAAAGTTTGTCTGGAAGGTGCCGAGGTTTACTATCAGAGTGCGAATTCCAAACGAGCTTGTCTCGTGTGAAAGAGCCTCTGAGATGGCTAGTTGCAACAAGTTAGCTAAGGTAGGCTCGTGGCAAGAGATTGGATGGTCGCTTACCTTCAAGAGCGAACTTGGACGCGGAATACATGCCGAGCGCTGGGAAGACGGCAAGTCCCAGAACGCTACTGATCTGCACGATAGTGCCACTGCCCCTCTGGCGCATCCTGGGTAGAATGGCTTTGCAAACACGGAGTGTGCCCCATACATTCGTGTCGAATTCAGCTTTTGCATCCTCCTCGGGAATATCTTCGATGGCTCCCGCCACGGCAAATCCGGCATTGTTAACGATGGCGGTAATTCCACCTTCAAACAATGCATCGGCTACCCCAATAGCTTCAGTGATGCTTTCCTGAGACCAGGAGATGTCCAGTGCGATCCATTTGCCGTTTGATTTCGATTCAATCTCTTTGACCAGTTCGGGGGTCTTGTTTGGATTGCGGGACGTCGCAATGACATTGTCCCCAGTGGTCAAGAGGTACCTTACCAGAGCCAGCCCAATGCCATTGCTTGAGCCTGTCACAAGCCAAGTGAGTTTGCTTTCAGCGCCAGCCATGTTGAATTTGGTAATAGTCTCAAAGGGGAGTTAAGCAGTTAGCAACAAGAATGGATTGTAGAAGAGTAGGGCCTTTGACGTTTAGGGATCGTAAAAGTGTACTGGGCTTCTCAAGTGGCACCTTGAGCTGTGAGAGCTAGCATTCCGGATACTCCGGCTGACATATGCACTCGGTTGTCACATATTATGGCTGACTGATCTCCATGCTTTGTCGCGTTGGCTGACTGATCTCCATGCTTTGTCACGTTGGCTCTCTGGTGTGGCGGGCTTGCGACACCAGAAAAGTGGGTCAACGCAGAAACGGGAGAGACACAACACTAAGCACAGCACCAAGCAAGTCAGCAGGAAGACATGCAAGTGTGCTGACGTGCATGTAAATTGCTGCGCGATAAGAAGGTCGTATTCCGTGATGCACTCACCGTTTCGCATGGGAAGAGCTCATCCATACAGCTCGTGGTAGAGTCACTGCCTCGTTTTGGCCAAGTGTGTAGATTGTATGCGTCAGGGTGTGGGGAGGGGCATAGACCACATGTTTGTATGACAAAGCATACAGTGCCAAGGCGGATGGGTTCATTATCTCCGGCGCTGTTGGACTACAATCTGGGAGCCACCCCTACCCTGTACGCCCTATGCGGCCCGCGTGCATACGCTGGGATGAGTGCATGTACCTCCGATCCAAGACCCGCTCCGTCTTTTTGCCTCCATCTGGGGGTAAGATCTGACGATTATACGGTTATTGTGTTTTATACAACCTTGCAGAAAGTGGGGGTACAGTCATGGTATGCTGGTAGACGTCCAATCGGAGGGCCTCGAAAGATAAAGGTACGTTCTCACTGCATCGTGAGTTTTACACGGCTGTACAGTAGGAATTGCCTTTCACGTTCCTTGAGTGAGGTTAGGCCCTGTGCAACATTATCCTCTGCGTCGGCAACTGGCAGTTGAAGTATTGTACAAGTAAGAAGCAAGAATCGCCGTGTTCGAGTGAAAGGGTGCACAATAGAGAACATTTGATACCTCTTCTTCTTCTTCTTCTTCTTCTTGCATTTGAATCAACATGGCCAGCCCAGTATGGTCTTTTACAGATTTGGTCCTATCGCAGTGGCGCGATGCTTCGCCGTCGGCCAAAAAGACGCTCGCAGTTGACGGCGGGAGCTTGACCATCGCCGACGTAGTTGCAGTGTCGAGGGACCTAGTGCAAGTGAAGCTCACGACCGAGTCCATCAAGGCCATGGAAAGGTGCAGCAAGATCATCCCGGAGAAGATAGCCAAGGGAGACATCATCTACGGGGTCAACACAGGATTCGGGGGAAGCGCCGACACGAGAAGCAACGACGTTGAGCGGGTGCAGCAGAGCCTGATCAGTCACCTGACGTGCGGTATTGTCGCGGACGGCAAGCAGCAGGGCGTCGTGAGCCTTCCGCTCAACGATGCGCTTGCGGCTACCTGCATGCCAGAATCGTGGGCGCGCGCATCCATGCTCATCCGTCTCAACTCGCTCGCCGGCGGGGCGTCAGGCATCCGGGTGGCTATTGCAGAGTCGCTGAAGGCGCTGCTCAACAAGGACGTGGTGCCCCGCATCCCCGTGCGTGGAAGCATCTCGGCATCAGGGGACCTCAGCGCGCTCGCATGGATCGGCGCCCTGATGCAAGGCAAGCCATCCGCCACAGCCTTTGCGGGCCCACGGGACGGCCAAGGGGCGCGTGGGGTGACGCGGGCCGACGCGGCGCTGTCCGCAGCGGGCATCGAACCGATCCAGCTGCACGCCAAAGAGGGGCTTGCGATTGTCAATGGCACCGCCGTGTCGGCCGGCGTGGCGGCTCTCGCAGCGCACGAGTGCCTCCACCTCGCGGCGCTGTCGCAGGTGCTGACGGCCATGAGCGTCGAGGCCCTGCGCGGCAGCGACGAGAGCTTCGAGCCCTTCATCGCGCGGGTGCGCCCCCACGCCGGCCAGATCGACAGCGCGCGCAACATCAAGGCGTTCCTGGCCGGCTCGCGGCTGCTGCACCGCCACGACGACCAAAATGTCGCGACGCTGCGACAGGACCGCTACTCGCTGCGCACCGCCAGCCAGTGGATTGGCCCCGTGCTCGAAGACTTCTGCCTCGCCCACCACCAGCTGACGGTCGAGCTGAACGCCGTGACGGACAATCCGCTCATCGACGCGGCAGCAGGCCGCATCTATCACGGCGGCAACTTCCAGGCACGTGCCGTCACGTCTGCGGCCGAGAAACTGCGCCAGGGCCTCCAGACCATCGGCCGCATGCTCTTCTCCCAGTGCACCGAGTTGATGAATCCGGCCACCAGCTGGGGCCTGCCGCCCAACCTGTGCTCCGACGACGCAAACCACTCGTTCCTGTTCAAGGGCATCGATGTCATCGTGGCGGGCCTGACGTCCGAGCTGGGCTTCCTGGCTAACCCCGTGGGCTCGCACGTGCAGACCGCCGAGATGGGCAACCAGTCGCTCAACTCCCTGGGCCTCGTGTCCGCCCGCTACACGCTCGACGCCGTTGACGTCTTGTCGCAGTTGTCCGCCGCGCACCTCCTAGCACTGTGCCAGGCCTTGGACCTGCGCGCCATCGAGTGCGGGGGCCGAACCGACGCCCCACCCGACGCCACGCCCTTCCTGGGCCACGCTTCGCGACGCATGTACCGCTTCCTTCGCAACGACCTTGGAATCCCATTCTTGGGCGAGGAGCACTTGGCTTCGACCGACGCCGCAACGCCGGACGGCGTCACCCCAAGCATTGGCTTGTACAACACGCGCGTGTACGAGTCCATCAGGTCAGGACGCTTGTACCAGGTCGTACTGGAGAGTCTCAGAGAGGTGAACGAGCAGGAGCAGCCGACTAACGGGATTGTGGCCAACAGCGTCTCCCCGCCGTGATTGTCCCTTTATCGTACCTGTAGACGGTCTAGGAGGTAATGCAACGTCCATAGATTCTATTGCGCGCATAGATAGAATGAGAGAAACATCGTCGCACTCAATATGGGCAGATATAGATCTTCGTTTCAGACACCCTACCATTGTTTTTTCTATTCTAACGCAAGTACGTAGCCTGTCGCTATCTTGGTAGATTTGATCTCTCCATCTAAATTGAATCAAATTCCGCGCTACATTCGTTGCAACCTTCTCCCAGAAGCTTCAGAACCCCATTTTGAAACATTGCATGATCCTTCAGTATCCGTGTTTCTTCGACAAGAACTCAGCTAAAAGCCCACCAGAGACGGAGGCGCCGGCATAAACACTTCCAGGACCAAATACGTTGCATGATCCTTCAGTATCCGTACTTCTTCGACAAAAACTCAGCCAAAAGACCACCAGAGATGGCGGCGCCGGCATAAGCACTTCCAGGACCAAATGCCCAGGCGCAACTGGCGCCATCTTCCAAGTTAGTAACCCAAATCATCCATAACAACAGCAGGCCCGTCCCACCACAAGAGATGGCATAATATGCGGCGCCAAACCCCACCAGATGGCCTGCCAATACGAGACAGGCGACCTGCACGGCGGACACCACGTAGAGGGTTGGCTTCGTACCCTTCCTTCCCAGTCGTACGGCGAGTCCCATGACACCAGCTTTCAGGTCATCGAGGTAATCCTGATGGGCGTAGATGGTGTCAAAGGTGACACACCAGAGAATCCCTGCTACGTACAGACACGCAGCCGACTGGGCCAGAGGCGACTCTACCACGTTGATCACGCGGTCTGAAAACGCCAACGACGAGTCAAACAGCGGCGCCAACGGATCCTTCCCGATCATTGAAGTCACTATGAATATCGCATACGACAGCCCAAATCCCAGCTCGACTTGGGGAAAGTCCGTACAACGCTTCAGCAGGGGGTAGATGAACAAGAGCACGCCGTCCACGGCGGCGTGAATCAGCGTTGAATGGCCGACAGGATACAGAATGGCGGCTCCAGCTGCAATCTGCATACTTGTGAAGAAATGCGCCTGCAACGTCGAGACAGCACCCCTGGGGATGGGCCTTACTCGGCAGCGGTCGACCTGGCGATCAAAGTCCTGATCCAGGTTGTCATTCCACGTGCAAGTAATGCCGCGGAAGACGGTGGTCCATAGACCCATATACCCAGCAAGGAGTGCGAGTGTTTTCAGGTCCATGTCCTGCGAGAAGGGGGGGAGGTTGATGGCAAATCCAAGGCCGATCAGGTAGTGCCAGTAAAAGGCCCAGAACCCCGATAGCCGGTCGAGACGCATGAGTTCGGCGTACGGAACCCATGCATCTGGGAGGAAACGAAAGATGCCATGACTTGGCTTGTTGTAGCCTTTCACGAGAGCACCCATGGCGTCGAGGGAGTGGGCGTATTGACTTCTGAAGAAGCTGCGAATATGAATCAAATGGTAGAATAGTACGTATGATTCCTGAACCAAGGACAAAAAGATGGTTAGGGGGAGAGGTTGTTCGTTGTAGTAACAAATCTCCACATGCTGGAACTATCGCCGCCTTTATCTTTCTTGGTGAAATCCCTACGCAAGAACGAACATATTACATGCCAGGACAGTTTCCCCAAGCAGCCGTCCGATCGTCTTACCTGCATTTCCGGTGCCAAGGCTGACCGACTGCTAAGGCTGACACGCCAAAGGTGCATACGAAGGACTGCATGAGTGCGGCCTGCATAAGCTCCGCTTTGTGGAACTGAAACGAGTGCTACCCTATCCATCCGTCTTATGACATGCAAGCGACCGTAGGCGATAACGACGTCCGTCGGCAACAGTTCACGGCAAGTGCTTTGTTCTAAAAAGTGACGACTACGATCGACTGTCTTGGAATTGGCCTTGTTGACTACCCCGATAATACACCATTTTGTTCTTCTCAAGGCCTCGAAAAACCACCACAACCACCAACGCCATCTCGTCTCCTAGCCTGTTGACCGCTAGCATGTACCCAATCGAAAACTCGTACTACCCCTATTGGGGTTTCTTTCTCGTTCTATGCAGCAGCTGCGCAGTTCTTGTTCAGTTTTTGCAACCCACCGACTTGAAATGGTCGACAAAGAAATGGGCAATGCCACCGAACCCAGTAGGCGTGCCAGTTCTGGGAAACTTGCTACAGATGATGCAGGCCCGCCGCCGCGGCGCAGTTGCTTTCAATGACTGGGTGAGTTCTTGGAGAACCCGTGGATCATGATGGGGGAAAAGCCGTATTAATCTAAGCGTCCCCAGCTGGCCTCCTTGATACAGTATGGGGAGATGGTGACGCTGCACATGGGATCCCAGACATGGGTTGTGCTTAACTCTGACCGCGTCGTCACGGAACTCATAGCCAAGCGCGGGAAGATCACCAACGAGAGACCTCATATGCCCATTGCCAGTGATCTGATTAGCAACGGAAAGCGCACTGTGGTAAGGCAAGAACAGGAATGGCGAGAGGGACGTCGTGTGATGCATCAGTTGCTCAGCGGCTCGAACCTCAAGGTCTACGCCGAGATGCAGGAGCTCGAGAGCGTTGACATGCTCCGCGGCTATCTTCGAGAGCCCAACCTGTGGTTCGCTCACAATTATAGATATTCCACCTCGGTGCTCTACAGAATCGTCATGGGGTACCCCCTGAACAAGACCAAAGCCCAGCTCGACGACTACCAGAGGGTAACGATAGAATTCGTCACCTCCATCAATCGAAGCTGGGTGGATTTTTTCCCGTCATTTAGCAAACTTCCTCCCTTCCTCCAGCCCTGGCGCCGTTTTTGGGCAGACATGGGCTCCTTCCATCGTCATGTCTTCGCGGAATGGTGGAAACCCATCAAAACAGCCGTGACCAACGGATCCGCCCCGCCCTCGTTCGTCCGCGACGTCCTCCTCCACCCGGATGTAAAATACACGGGCGATGACGAAGAGGCCATGTACCTAGCTACGTCCATCATGGCAGCAGGCGGCGACAACACGCGCATGTCGATCAACACCTTCGTGATGGCCATGGTGACGCGGCCGGAAGCCCAGAAACGGGCCCGCGACGAGATTGATAGAGTGTGCACGGATGGCGAATCCCTCAGGCTGCCGTGCATGTCTGACCTGTCCGAGATGCCCTACGTTGCCTCCATGATCAAGGAGGTGTTGCGCTGGCGGCCAACTGTCCCGGTTATTCCGCCCCACCAGCTCACGGAGAATTTGCAGTTCAATGGACACTTCATCCCGGCTGGTACGAGCTTATTGATCAACTCGATCGCACTGTCGAGCGAGTTTGATAATGCGCAGGAATTCCAGCCGGAGAGGTGGATGGACGGCTCTGAAGCGCATACAACACACAACTTCTGGGGTTTTGGAGGCGGGCGTCGCATCTGTGTCGGCTGGAAAGTGGCGGAGCAAGCCCTATTCATCGCGTTTGCCCGCTTGCTTTATTGTTTTGAACTGGGTCCGGTGCGTTCCTTCTATTTATTCCTAATCTTGGTTCTGGATGCACGAGTCACTAACAAAGGACATGTCTAGAACGGGCCGATCAATGACCAGAAACTCAATCACCAGACTGTCAATGAGCCGTTCCCTGTCGAGGTCACCGTTCGCAGTCTTGAACACGCAAAGCTCATCGAAGAGGAGGCATCCAAGTACGAAGCTTCATTCTCTACGTTTGGAGCGACCGCCAAGTGAACTCTATGAAACGAGTTTGTCAATACATATCAGAGAGGTCTGGCACACAGGTTTGAAAAGGGGAAGACCCAAAATCTTTGGATTGGCCGTCGAATTGCGGCAAGCGATAGCCTCAAGAGGCACCGATTGATATAGGGTTTCGATGAGGAGCATGTGCAGGTATCGTCATGTTCCGTAGTAGTGTTGAAATCTAGTCTTCATAAAGAAACCAAACTTATACTTGCTACTACTTTTGAAGAAGGACAATAGGAGGCGCCCTGGGAGTCAAATGCGCTCTGTCCCTCGCTCTCTCCCTCCATCAATACTATCACGATATCTCGACCATCTGCCAAAACTATGTTGCTTTCTTCTAAGATAGCCGTGGTGACGGCGACATGTAGAGCTTCGTCAGGCACAAGGTGAGCTGCCGTCCCGTCCACCGTCCACCCATATCGACGACTCCGTGTCAGTCTCTATCCATATTTTCGTCGCGGCTCTACTCCCCTCATCCGCATGCCTCAGTGCTCGGAGCAGTTCTGTTAGGGTGCATAACATCGAGGATCCCTGCTGTGCCGATATTGATTCAGAGCACAAAGCTGTTCTCGGCGTGAACATCGGCGCCGTGCACGCTCGGTGCTGCCTTACACGGACCGATCAATGTTGTTTCTGATCACTTTGCATCAGACTATGCCCGGTAGGAGTGCGTGCCTTATCCTGTTATCACTGCATTGAATGCAGACTTCGTCAAGAGGGGAGAAAGGTGCGTTGGTAGATAATCAGTATGAACCGGATACCTTACGAAGATCAATCTCTGATAGGCTTTGGGAACGCTCTCAACACTTTGATAGCCTGTCCAAGACCTGTTAATTAGATGGGTTGACGGGCTACAAGGTAATATGCGGTTCAACGCTCCCGGCAGTCTGGCTTGCATTGCCGCTAAAACCGGCACCCCCACGGAGGTAACCGAAGCCAAGACTCCTGCACAGTTGCCTTGCGGTATTTTTTCATCTTACCTGCATACACTGGATCTGTAGTATGCGGTTCAAGGCTCCTCGCGATCCAGCTTGCATTGCCGCTGAAACTACTGCCCTCACAGAGGGCGCCGAGTGTTGGGATTCCTGCACAGAGTTGCCTCGTAGTACTTTTTCCGTCTTATCTGCATGCGACAACACATCTCTACATACACCCTGTAAAAGCTATCTAGAGTTCGGCTTCCTGCATATAGTCGCGTCAGGACAATAGTGACACTTACTGTACTTTGCCCACCCATGCATCAAATAAACTGTTTTAGGCGGTATCAGACACAAGGCCATCCGCTTTCCCCCAATGGCCCTGATTTCGCCCTGCATTAGTCACGCGATCCTAATCACTGGCGCCCTTCTCCGCAGGTTCTGCGGGTCGTCCCCACTTCTGAAACCCTTTGCAGTCATTACCACTTCGGCTGATCGGCATTGTCCTCGTCGTATATTTCGCAATTTATTCCCAAGGTGTGTAGGCTAAATTAGGGCTGAGATAATCCCTCGTGTGGACAATCGAATGTTGGGCGCATATCAGCATGCCATCGACATTCCCTAATCAGGCATTCCGCTGCGCCATGGTCTTACTACATGTCTAGCTTTTGTAGAATGTGACCTTGTTTTGCGTACTGCATATGGCCGCCTCAAAGTACTCTTGGTGCGGGGTTTCACGTGCACGTTCGCATCAGTTAATTATCTACTTGTGACGGCTGAGTAACTACAAGCACGATCTGGGGTAGCAGGACGAATCATCTCCTCCCACCATATAGCTTTTATTGTTGCTATCAGTTCCGTTGTCACCTATTCTTCAATCATTTTCGAAATGGTGTGGGCGTGGCAAGAGTGGCTCTCGCCGCGACCGAAGCAGCGCACCATAACAACTACGCAAACGGCCTTTCCTCACCTTGGTGATGCTGCACTGTATGAGCCACTCTCAAAGCCCAACGGCCTTTGGGTCATCAGAGAGACGCACTACATTAAAGATCCGATCGTCAAGGCCGGACTATCTGGACCTCCAATGTAAGTGAGGAAGATGAGATCATGCTAGTCACGGAAGGGATCTGATTAGCTGGTACGGCAGACATCTACATCTTACACAAGACGAATTCTTCAAGATCGAGCAGGGTGTATTAGGTGCAGTCAAGGACGGGGTAGAATACGCCGTCACTAAGGATGACGGTGTCTTCTGCATACCCAAAGGCACGCGGTAAGCTTTAACCTGACAGACAAGATGTCGTAACTACTTTAATTATCGAGCCACCATGACTGACTAAAACCTGGACTTTGTAGCCATCGATTCTGGTCTCACAAATCGGGTACCGAAGACCTCGTCTTCACCGTCTGGCTAGATCCCTGCACAGAAACTGACCATCTTTTTGACGTGAACATCCTGCGCAATCTTACAGGCTACATGAACGATTGCAAGAAGCTTGGCGTAGCGTTATCGCCTTGGCAACTCCTTCTGTTCTTTGAAGATGCTTCCTCGATCTTGATCCCGCCGGCGCTGAGTTGGATGCCGAACTCGATGCTCACTTGGGTGCACCACGGGCTTGCATGGTACGCAGAGAGTGTGTTGGGGTAAGTACCCGTTGATCTCACAAACGCCTAAAGTCTACCTTCTCATTTATAAGTTCATGTTAGCTAACCCTCTGTCAACCCCAGTTACAAGAGGACATACCGTGAGTATGTTAAAGAGTCGTAAAGTCTTCAGTTAGGCGTCGTAAACATGGCTCTGGTAAATAGCATGTCGAATTGAAGCATTTTGGAATGAGCTGTTGATCTAGAGCCTCATCTTGTGCTGCGAGCTGTGGAGTCACTATTTGCGGGCATAGCTTACATGATTAAAAACACATGGGTTTGAATGGTATTCTGGTGTTGTACTGCACTCACCGAATTCCACACTATAAACCCGTGCAATCTCAGATTTTCACTCCATGCATTAGAATAGCTTTCTGTGGTGAAGTTGCTTAAGATGAGTTCCGCTCCTGTGACCTTCTTCTCTCGCAACGACTGCCAGAGAAGATAACCATCAGTATCCATGAGTCTGTCATATGCTTCGGACATGTTCTTATACTGATGCTGTAACGTGGTCTAAACGAATCTCAAGTACGTCAGAAAGGAACAGCAGGTATGATTCTCCTATTTCTTAGATACCATTGTAGGTTTTGACTTCGGTGTAATGGGTTGCGATAAATCTTTCCCACGCCTCTTGTCCACTTCTTGCGGCATCGTACTCCCAGAGCCATTTGAACAGCTCAAAATCTGCACCCGCACGAAGTTTGGCATCACGTTCCTCTTGTGCTGGACCATCGGCAAGAGCAAACATAGCCTTCTGGTCTATTGTGCGATTTCTGACACTCAAAGCTCGTGGTTTGCGAACCTCCTCAAACACTCTAAGGGCATCCGGGATCTGTTCACGTCCCACTGACTGACTGAATATCCCTCCAAGGACACCTGCATCCTCGAAGGCCTGTGCGGCACCCTGTGCTCTGAAGAAGGGTTAGCCAGTATCAAAATGAACAAACAAACTAAGATCAAACTCACAGGCATGGTAATATTGCGTGAGCAGCGTCGCCAATCAGGGCAAATCGTGCCATCTTATGGCGCCATTCGGTCGGCTCATGGATCTGGAACAAAGTCCACTTGGTGCAAACAGACCCTTCCACATTGATAAGTTCATGAAGCACTGGGTCCCAGCCAGAAATCTTGCTCCTGAACTCTTCTATGTCTGCTCTTTGCGGTCCGTAAACAGTCTTGACACCTACACCCTCGGCGTATATCAGGACTATGTTGAGCATATCGTGCTGGATGAGGTACGAGACCACGTGTCCGCCTCGTCCCATCCAGAAGTTGACGCTGGATCGTGTTTTCAGGTCCCAAGCGAGATAATCTTCAGTTATATCTTTTGTAGGGACAGAGATTCGGTAAACGACGTCGCCAGGATTATAAGGAGGATCCGGATGGCCCAACAGACTACCCCTACAACGAGATCTCTCCCCGTCAGCACCTAAAATTATGTCCGCTTCATAGACTTCGTCATTGGATAGACGCAATGAGGGCTTGTTGAAATCTATCTCTTTGACTTCGCTGTTCAGTTTGATCTCTATCCCATGCTTCCCTGTCTCAGACAGCAAGGCTCTCAGGAGATCGGCACGATGAATCACAATGTAAGGAGCCTTGCCAACCAGTCGCGGATCAGAGACAGGCGGAGACTGTGACAGTACGTCTCCTCGATAGGAGCGAAAAGTCCCAGCCTCTGGTCGGTTAGCATACTTGAGAACCTCCTCAAGGACGCCCCAGTGCTGAAGCAGACGCGTAGCGTTAGGGGACAGCTGTATTCCAGCGCCGATCTGTTAAGCTATGTTAGAATAGCTCAAAACCTATATTTAAAAGCATGGAATTACTTCTTGTAGTTCAGCACTACGCTCGAACACCGTCACATGGTGACCAGCTTGAGCAAGAGCCAAAGCGGAAGCCAGTCCACTAAGACCACAGCCTACAACTAGGACGGAAAACACGGGCCGCGGATAACACTCAAACGCCATGTTAGAGCAGAAGGTAGTGGCTTTACAACTTCTTGGAAACCTTGGGAAGGTCAGAGGTACTGGGGGGGTTTTGAGGAGTCTCTTTCTCTATTCTTATTGCTAGATAGTCTGGTCGCGACATTATCCGCAGCAGGTAACCTGCATTTATTAGGAAGAGGCACCCATGTGCGGGTGGGGCGATGGTCTGGCCGCATAGTTGCTGTCTGAATATGCAAGCCGACGCCACCTGACCTTAGCGCGATCCACCGGAAAGTCTAGCTCGCACTTCAGTTCAACAGATTCCGAGAGCACAATTGCTCGACAACCCTTGTCTTGCCATTCAGCAAGTACTTCTGGTTCGCACACGACTATACATGGTAATCATACAAAAGCAGGAACAATTACACAATGGCCTATTACAGAGGTCAACATGTCACGGTGGCTGATTTTATTGCCTTCCCTGAGATCATCTTGGGCCCAGACAGCCTGCAGTATTCTCCTACAATAACTGAAAGAACGCGACAAGCTCATCTTCTCAGTCCTGGAAATGACATCGAGGATGACGGCTCGTTGCTCATCCGTTCGCGCCTCGCATCCAATGACGTGAATGGGAAATTGCTGTTTGCAGAAACTCAGTCGGGGCAAGAGAGCAAAGGCTTTGTCGATATAGTCTTGTGTCCTGATGGGTTGATCGATGACGCCTTCAGACCTTCGGTTGAGGAACACCAGCATTGCGAGCTGGTACAGGTGCATCAACAAAGCCACATCATCCAAAACATCATTGTCGTCATGTGTGATTTTGAGCATCGGTACGGTCCTGATTCTCCAGTCTATCACTCCTACGAAGTTCTTATAATCATCCGCGCTATTGCCGGTTTCTGGTGGGATTGTGCTACTAGATATCGTGACGCATGCTTGGGATAGTAGATTAATCATGGAGAAAACGGGCGGCGGCAGAATGGAAATCTAAAATGTGAAAGGTCAGATCAACACTTCATGTAGTCATGCAGTCTTTTTCTTGTACGAACCTGCGGACCAAAGAAGTTTGTTGGAGTCGACGGGAGCTCCGGCGTCCCTTCTCTTTCCCAGTATAACAATGAGAAGCGAGCGAGGATATCGTGGTAGTGCACCCAGTCTAGCAAGACAACCACATCAGAGCCGAGCTGAAGTAATGTTTTGATAGACGACGCGTTAATGACCGTCTCGACACCTCTCAGGCATCCCATCCATTCGTCTGAGGAGCAAGATGAATGATGAATCTCAAACGAACAAAGCAGCATCCCTGTGGCAATATGCTGAATGGTTTCTTTCGCGCCGAGGCTTGGCACAGCTGATCCTTCTGCTAAGCTTTTCAGCGCAGCAATTTTCAGCTCCACGGCATGGGGTTGTAAACCGTAGCGATGGAGCGAAGAAAAGGCCAGCAGTGCCTGGAGCACTGCTGCAGCCGAGGCCGTTTTCCCTTCCAGACCAATTCGAACCAGGATTTTCCCGAGGGTGGCAGCGTCATGGCCGAAGGTAGCCAGGGATGCAGACGCTACACAGTAAACTGCAGATGGTGCACATGAACCCGTCAGCACTGCCTCCTCTGAGTAAGCTCAGTGAGTAGCTATGTGGGACTTTTGCGGCATACAGTACTCAAACAAGTCTCGATCAGGAACCTCCAACTTGAATGTGTTCCACAACATTGGTACGCCAAGCAAAGACAGGGTGCGCACTGGCACAGAGCTTTTCAAGCTATAGTACAACTCAATATCCCAATGCGACATGTGGACAAATCGTGCATCAGAGACTAAGACCGTTTCGGGAAGTGACAGATAGGGCGGTGTCGACTCGGAGACCACAGCACGCCGGCGATCGTCCGCACGCGGCCAGGAGAGCTTGAGACCGTACCCGGTACATTTCCGGTTAGATCGAGAGCAGTTCGTACAGTGGGGCCTGGCGCCATCGCAACTTATGGCACGACCTGGCACGGTTAGGAGTCATTTTGGCTTGTCTTCTAGGGCAAGTCCTCTATCTACCTTTGCATGTGGCGCAACCGGTGCGGGCTGTCGTCATATGCCCTTGCGGCATGGTCGGGAAGGATCAGTCGTGATAGATAGCCGACGCACACAGTGGGGTAAGATAAGGAGAGATTAGTACACCCCCGTGGCAGAGCCATTATACATACTTATATACTTGCCAGTTCTATAAACTTGACGTTACACCGCATTACAGAGACCGTGCAGAGTACGTTGGTGGCATTCAGGGTTCAGCACTCCGTCTTACAGAACAGGGAGCTCCGCGATCCTTATCAGCAGACAGGGGAATTATACAAGTGGGTCTTTGGCGCAGGTGTAGCGAGCGCCACCAGCAAGGTATCAAGCAAAGGCCAGTACAAGAGGAAAGGCGAATAGCAGAAAATGCCGCAACCCGTAGTGATCCGCTGAGTCATCTTATCCGGATCCGGAGGGCTTGGAGCTACCGACCCGCTCATCGGGGCTTACTGTAAGTCAACTGCTGATTTCCGATTGTGATAGATGTTTTTCTTAGATTCCGTGACCGCTCTTTGCCACACCGTGTCTGATAGGTTCAGCCAGCTGGCTGAGGACCGAGGCTTACCACATCCTCCGGCAGTTAGTGGAAGAAGGAATTCAGCCTCAAAAGCACTAGTTTTCTGTTTTCTTATGTTGGTTCTCAAGCCACACCGCGTCTGATAGGTTCAGCCATCTGGCTGAGGACCGAGGCTTACCACATCCTCCGGTAGTTAGTGGAAGAAGGATTTCAGCCCCAAAAGCACAGTTCTTTTATGTTGGTTCTCAAGCCGCTTTCTCAAGCCACCTTCGAAAGTCACCATCGTGAGTTTCCGTGAATGGTTGATATTTACCTCAACTGAAACATCTCCGTGATGTGGCGCGAGGAACGGGCTATGCTGACCGGCACGGGCTTTACGATGTTCGCGAATTTCAGTGAGCATTCAGAATGAAGACCATTAAATCAGACGTGATGTCTGTTGTGTCGAAGAAGAACGAGCATCTCTGCAAAGTTTTACCATTGTGGCTATCATAAGACTATACCGAAGCAAAAAAATGGTCTCTCCAAAATTCTTTCTCGCTGTCTGCGGCCTTATGCTCCTACCGGCTCTCGTGACTAGTTCTCCTATTGCGTCTAGTCATTTTGGGAGAAAACTGTTCTCGCGAAACAATATAACTGCAACCACAGTCGCTGCTGAGCTGGGCCCGCAACTTTCCAATGGATCGCTAGTTTTCGGGTCTGATAACCCCCAGTGGTCCAATGCGACCATCAGATGGAATCGTTTCGTGCGGCCTAATGTTCAGGTTGTCGTGGAACCGGCGGCTGAGAGCGACATAGCAGAAATTGTGAGGATATGCCCAGGAGGCTCTTGAGAACTTAAAACAGTCCTGCTAACTCCAGTAACATAGATCAAATACTGTAACGACAATAGCTTCGAGTTCCTCGTGAGGAATCGTGGTCATGGAATAACATCTTCCTTGTCAACCTTCTCCGGTATACAAATCAACGTGGAAGGGCTCCAAGGCATTACAATTCAGCCAGATGAGGGAACTGCCGTACTCCAAGCCGGAACATCTGGTGGTCAGGTAATAAGAGAGCTTTGGGACCAGGGTTATGTTACCAGTAAGCGCTCTATCATTGCTGAATGGTTTCATCGCTGATATTGAATTTCTCAGCTACTGGAGCTACACAATGTGTTGGCATCATGGGTCCAGCACTAGGCGGTGGCCATGGGCGCTACAATGGACTTCACGGGTTGGTCACAGATAACATCCTGCACTACAACGTTGTCCTGGCAAATGGCACAAAGATTAATGTAAATGAGACGAGCCATTCGGATCTTCTATGGGCCCTAAAAGGGGCTGGTCATAATTTCGCCGCTGTCACGAGTATTGTGAAGAAAATTTATCCTAGGGAGATTGACACATGGCACTTCCACAACTATACTTGGACACAAGATAAGCTAGAGACCGTATTCGAAACGCTAAACACTTTTCACAAAAGCTACAATGGCACTACACCTCCTAAGATGGGTGTAAACTTCGGGTCGATCATAATGGATAGGTCTATAAGCACAGCTGAGGTTTGTAGTTCTTTCACCCTTATTCAAGGGCTATTGCTAACCACGCCCAGGCCGTGCTGAAGTGGGGCTTCTATTATGCCGGCCCAGCTGTTGAAGCGGAAGAGCTCCTGAGACCATTTAACGCCATTGGTGCTGTTGCAGAGGACATGATTGACCTCTCATACCCCGACATAGCTGGACTCACCAGTGGAGACTGTGCTGGTGGCAACTTGGCTATATCCAGTGTCTTGACACTAGAGTACAATGCCACAGCGGAACGTACTCTTTACGATCATTACATCTCGAACGTGGCCAAATACCCTGAGCTCGCTGCTACCGCCTATCTCTGGTACGAAGGCTACGCTACTGCCGGATACCAGGCTATTCCTTCCGAGTCCACCGCCTACCCTCACCGCGAAGAGAACCACATAATGTGAGTCACCACCCCTCTGTGCAACAGGCACATACTATTGTATACACGATGAAGTAGACTAACTTGTATCGTCATAGGTTCTTCGCTACTGTAGTACCGGATGGATCTGACCTGCTGGAAGTGGCAAACACGTGGGCCAAGGAGTCAACAGACATCTGGAACGGTGGCCAGCCCGATCGACAGCCAAAGTTGTACGTGAATTACGCCATGGGCCACGACTACGAGACACTCGAGTCCATCTATGGTTATGAAGCGTGGCGCTTGGAAAGACTGCGCTCGCTTAAGGCTGCATATGATCCAGAGAACCGTTTCCGCTTCTTTGTTCCACTTGTGTCAAATTCAACATCATAGAATCAGCATTGTTGACGTAACTCATAGCTTTGCTAGTTACATAGCTTAGACACTTTGAAAGACTGCGCTCGCTTAAGGTTGCATACGATCCAGACAACCGTTTCCGCTCCTTTGTTCCTCTTGTATACAATTTAGAAACATAGAATCAAGATCATCATCGTACATCACAATTTTGCTAGTTACATAGCTTAGACGCTCCATTAACACATCAACTAACTAGCTAATTTGCAAGGTGGAGGAGCACCCTCATTACATAGAATCACGCCTTCACCAATGCATGTAACCATACAAGACTATCTCCTCGAAACCTCAGATTTAGCCACGCTCACAGCAATGAGTGTATCTGGTGTACTGGATCGGCATATCCTAGGTCTACACCCACTGCTTGTTTCCAAGATGCGAGACAAATGTACCACCGTCCCCGTTCTCGATGCTGGCCTTCTCCCAGACCGAACTGACCGCCCGAACGGATTCCTCCGTAGAGATTGGGCCCTTGAAATGAGGTGCATAGGCCGCAAGCTTGCCCACGAATGCCATCAATCCCTCCGTCTCTTGTGGAGTGACTATGGGAATGCATTAGCCAAATGTCCCCGATATCTCAGTCTTGAAGATAGGCAGGGATACGTACTATCTGAATAGTGGCCCACCTCCACGACTCCCGGGCTGATAGCCATGAAGAGCACGCCGTCGCTCTTGTACTGCACGCTGAACTTGGCGACGATGATGTTCATAGCTGCCTTGGAGGCAGCGTATAGAGAACCAATATCAATCCCAACCTCGTTGGTGAAGTCAAGGTCGGCTACACCCGTAGATATGGTGATGACCGTTCTTGACCTTGCCCTTTCAGGACGAGAGGGAGGAAGAGGTGGAACAGGTGCACGTTGCCGAGGACGTTAGTCTGCCATAGCTGCGAGGAAACAGCCTCTAGCTCCTTCGACCTTGTCGCTCCTGGCAAACACATACCGTTAGCCACAAACCAGACAGTAACTAGAGGAAAGTAGACGTACAATGCGCCAATGGGTCCAAAGCCGTCCAAGTAGGGCACAATGCCTCCGTTGGCAACCAGGTAGTCGATACCGCGCTCGCCAACAATCTCAGCAGTGTCAGCAGCGGCTTGCTTTAGGCTAGCGTAGTTGGTGAGGTCTGCATGGAGGATGTGGACATTAGAACGGTCGCCTAGCTCTGCTGCCACCTTCTTCTCAGTCGTGGCCTTGTCGCGGACCAGGCCGACAATTAGGTTGTTCGAGTCTTCCGAGAACTGCTTGACGAATTCAAACTACGCTGTAGTAAGCATGGGCAATGCGCAACAAGGGCATGGGGCAGACTTACGCCGATTCCCCTCGACACTCCGGTAATGACGTACACAGACATATTGAGTGATTTTAGCTCGTACAAGTTGGTGTAGATTGTGATGTGGTTAGGTACGAGGTGCTTGATAGATATAGTATGGAATGTAGGTTTTGGTTTGTTTTGGTTTGGTCAGCCGTGATGACGCTATGCCCGGAGCGGCTGGCGTCACGGGCCCTTGTTTCTGCTGCGCCCCCACTTCACTCCTCAACTGATTACCAATTCGCTCTCCGCATGCTCCGCCGTGCATGCTTGTACATAGTTGCCTGAAATCTCACTTGGCGTAACACATGCATAACCATTGTACATTAGTCATCAGCACGGACTAAGCTACCCCTCTTTGCTGGAGGACATACTCGTTGCCCGGGTGGGCCCGGGTACTGTAGCCTATCCATCGCTGCTATGGCTTGCGTTTGGGCGATCCGGTAGAATAGCCAGGTAGCCAGTAACTTGTGGGGGGTGACGCCTGTGCGGAAGCCCCGAACAAGCGCAAATCGCTCCTCGCCAACACCCTGGAATCCTCCAGCCCTACATTGGTAGGACCACAAACATGAGCTCTGCTGCTGCCGTCACTTAGCAGCCTCAGATTCTTTCTTGAAGTCAACACACATCTTATTAGCGGATTACACGTGCCCTGAGAAACAGATCCAACAATGAGATCTCATTTTTTCCTTGTAGTAGGAGCCGCTCCATTTGCCACCAGTACTGTGGATGCAGCAAGCCCTTGTGTAAGGACTGCTGCTTTGTCGTCGACCTAATATCACGCTGAAATCTACGCAGTGCACCACGCTTGCCAGTCTTGGAAGCTTTCGCCAGAAGGTGTTCTTACCGGAATCAGAGATCTACAATGAACGCCTAGAGTCCATCTTTTCACGGAGTGCACGCCAAGCTCCTTGGTGCGTCCTGCTCCCTGAGTCGGCCCAGGATGCATCCGAAATCATGAAGACTGTAAGCAAACTCAAGTGTCCGTTCGGCATTCGGAGTGGCGGGCACGGCATGCACCGCTTGTCGAATTCTGTCGAAGGTGGCATAACAATCGATTTCGGTATGGTTATCCCCAGTACGAGAAAGTGGATGAACACTGAAATTTTCTGCGGCCCGCATGAACGCGACAAATTATGACAAGCAGAAGGGAATTGTATCAATTGGCCCTGGGATGAGATCAGGCCACATCTACGACGAGATCATGGACGATGGCATCGTCGTCACTGCAGGGCGCGTCGCCCCAGTCGGAGCAGCAGGCTTCATCGCAGGCGGCGGCATCTCGTATCATTGGCCTAGCCATGGCTGGGGATGCGACAACGTCATCAACTTTGAAATGATACTCGCAAACGGAACGATTCTCAACGCCAACGAGCAGCAGAACCGTGATCTGTGGGTTGCGCAGCGTGGTAGCAGCGGGAACTTTGGCCTGATCACCCGCTACGACATGCGCGCGATCTCCTACGCGAATCCGAAAGTTCCTGTAATATGGGCCGGCGCCATCGAATATGACTGGAGCGCGAAAAGGGAGTTCGTTGACCGCTGGGTTGCCTTTACCAAGCGCCACGCCTTGGACATGAACAGCTCCTCCATGTTCCAGTTCCAGTACGACACCACGAGTAACAAGTGGCAGCTCATCACCATCGTCTCCAACACCGCGAACATCGCCAATGCGAGCACACTGGAGCCCATCATCTCCATGGACAAGCAACTCAGCAACGACCTGCGCTCCGACACCATGGGCAACTTTACGCGCGAATTCTTCGCAGATGTGAACGACAAATACCATATCTGGTTTACCTCAACGTATACTGTGGACCCTGATTTTATCTTGTATACGCAAGAGCAGCATCAATTACTCGTTCAGCAGCTGCGCGTTGCGCTGCCTAACGGTACGCAGTTCACTAGCTTGACCACGCACCACGCTATCACGCCAACCGCGGTATCGCATTCCAACGGTAACAATGTCCTCGGACTGGAAAAACGCGTCGCGAATAACACCGTCGGCCACATGTTCCTCATCTGGGTGCAGCTCAAGACCGCACAGGACGAAGTGATTGCTCTGCCTATCGTGCAAGCGTGGCATAAGAAACTTGAGAAGGAGGGGAATAGGCGGAGGATTAATTGGAACTGGGAGTATTTGAACTATGCACATGGGCTGCAGGATCCGGTTAGGACATATGGCGAGGAGAACATTGGGAAGCTGAGAAAGGCATCGAAGAAATATGATCCGGAAGGTGTATTTCAGAGGCTGAGAGGGTCGGGGTTTAAGATCCCGGTTAACTGAGTAGGGGGATATTTAAGGGATTTGTATATGGGGTAATCACGATACGTAGATGAGTAGCGGCCTTCGCCCATAAAATTGAACAAACGCTTTTCCAAAGAGGAAATGATCATTGTTTATAGTAGTCTAGAGAAAGAAGGTTGGAATAGTGTAGAATACAAACTTCATATATGCTCTACAATGTGAAACATCCGTCTACACCCTCTTTAAGCATGAAAATATTTGAAGGCTTGCACGTTTGTTCACTACCAGCTATCCATGTTACATCTGACTACAAATGTCTTCACACTATTTCGATGATCTGTACTGAGAGATCTCTCAATGCTGAACATGGTTAATCACATCGCTGACCCTAGATAACATAGTGTTTTCAAGTTACGCTGCCAACTTCAGTAAAGCTTTCGACGCTAGTTGACAAATTAGTAAGAAACAGGAATGTTAAAGAAATACTTACATTCAGAAACAAGGATCCGATAAAAGCCAGTGCTGAGCCAGCAACCATGACGAAGAACACATCGCGGAGTGCAAACGTGATTTGCTCCACAACTTGGACCTGTACCGTAGAACCAAGGCCCTTGTAAATTGCACTATGAGTTCCTGTCGTCAATTGGATGACGTCGCTTAACGGCATATCAGGCAATATCTGGCTAATCTTTTGCGCCCCGATGTTCTGAAATATTGTTCCTGATATGCTGAGCATCACAATGAAGCCCATCTGTTGGCCTGCTCAGATGTCAGCACAGATTTTTCACTGCTTTCCATGTGTATATACCGATAGATAAAAAGCTTATACCGTCGCTAAGCTCAGAGATTGGAAGAAGGTTTTGGATGACTGAGAAGCCTGCGGAAAAGAAAGCTCCACAGCCACTTCCAATGAGTAGCGTGGCGCCATAAACATATGCTTCGGAGGTTGACGCATCGATGACACCTTTTTGCAGTTAGTTATCATGCTAGTTACAAGATGGAAGTTATTACTCATGAGGGTAGTCCCCACCAAAACCATGGCAGTCCCAAGGACATACCATGGCATGTGATAACCCAATTTGGGCATCAAGGCTCCGTTCAAAATAGAAAAGAATATCAGGCCGGCAAGGAAGGGCATGAGCCTTGCACCAGCTTTCAGAGGCCCATCGTTGCGTGTAAATTGGAACAGCAGTGGGATGTAATAGAGTGTCGTCACCATGCACCCCGAGGCCATAAACAGTGCGAGCTCCAGTAGGTTGAGCTCCAGCCGCTTCATCAAATGTAGAGGGTACAATCGATCTCGTAGCGTGACTGTGGGGTGATAAATTGTGACGAACAGGAAGACGATGAGAAGAACGCCTGAGAGAGTCCAAAGAAGAATCTCTGACGCGCTGCTCCACGAATACACAGTCCCACCAAAGGTAAGACCCAAAGACAAACAGGTTGCGCCACCCATGAAGATGACTATCCCAAGCCAATCCTGCCTACCCATCTTCTCTTTAAAGCTCAAATCTTTTGCCGGATCAATATTAGGCAGATACAAGATCAGCCACGGCGCAGTGAAAGCCGCGAAGACAATGTTGATGTAAAATGCCCATCGCCATGTCGCACTGCTCTGTGCAAATGCCCCGCCGATGAGGGGTCCCACGACGGAGCCGACGGACCATGTAGCAAGTACACCCGAGATGTAGATGGGTCGCTCGCGCGTGCTAGTGGTAATGGAGACATAGGTTACGGCGCCTGCGTAGCATCCGCATGCGCCAATGCCCTGCAGCACTCGTCCGATGATGAAGGCGTCCATGCTGGGAGCGGCGCCGCAGACAGCGCTACCTACCTCGAAGAGAGTGACGACACCAAGGAACAACCACTTGACATTGAAAACGCCGAATGCTTTGCCGCTAGCTAGTATTAGCTGATATCGGACTATATCGCTGGGTCGACTTACATGGGTAGTATCGACAGAGCTCCAAGAAACATGCCCACACCAATCCATGGTAACTTTTCGGTCTCGCCAAACGTTTCGATTATCTGAGGCTGGATGGCTGCAACCTGGGTAAGGTTAGAGCAGTAAAGCGTGTCTGAAACGCACAACTGACAATGGTTCCGTCGAGCGCATAGAAGAGCACGGTAGAGAGCAAAGAGCTATAGGCCAGGAACCACTTGAAGCCATGCAAGGTGCGCACTGGCCCTGGTTCTTCATCTTGCAGAAGGTTCGTTTGAAACTGTGTGGTATCTTCTGGAGACTTCTCTGAAGAAGGTGGCAAAGCGGGTTCGAGGTCGTGCGTGGACATATCGAATTCGTCCAAAGCGCTATGCAGTGATCGATGAACGAGAGTGGAATGTGGCAGTCGTTGTTTTGATGTGAGCTGCCAAGCGCTATGAAAAAATTAGTAACACACTTCCACAAACGAAAAGTCAAATACTCACCCTGCTTTCCAGTGTGTTTTGGTCTTCGTTGCTGAATCTCGAGCGAAAATTGTGAGGTGGTTTGGGGGTAGAAGGGGAAGCAGGCGTACCTCGTAACAACACCCGAAACGATGTTTCAATTTCCTGCACGGGCGCTGATTAATCATGAAAATGGCAATCTTGTGGAACGAGGTAGATGGTGCGTGCGCTGCCTGAGCGCGTGCTTGTGTAAGTGTGTTTGGCTTCTGTCATAGCCAAGCACGTATGAGCTGTTGCGATTTGTCAGCTATTATACTGACTGTCAAGTGCAACGATTTAGCCCCAGCCGGTAGCTACCTATAAGGTTTACATGCTGAAGCGGAGCAAGAGATGTTCCGATTGGCTGATCATACCTGAATGACGTGCGTCGCTCTTATTATATAAGTCGTTATTTAGATGGTAGTGCGAATCGTAGGCCTTCAGCTTCTCGTAGCATGCATGAAAAACATGCTGACTACGGGCTGGAGTTGGATCGATACACCTGAGGAGCACCTGTACCGTGCATGACGGTGTAGTAACCCGGACGGCGCAGTGTGCCACTCTACTAAAACTTCAACTAAACTTTAAACACGCGACATCGCTATTAATATAAGTTATTACTTTTAGAGTCTACTCCTCCTTCTTTTCTTCATTCTGTTATACTTTTTACTTCTGACTACAATGTTCCAACAGCATAGATCTTTAGTCGAGTGTGCGCAGAGAATCTTAACCGCCGCGAAAGAGATAGAGCAGAGAGACAGCAACTCGGACCTTGTAACACAGTCTCGTAGAGCTATCGCAGAAGCTACGCAGGAGTTACAGAACATCGTTCTCACACCATCAGAACTCCTCGAGCACCATCAAATCAACTACCAAAACCTTTCCTGCTTGCGATGGCTCATTCGCTTCAACATTTTCAACCTCGTCTCCGCTGACGGGTCGCCAATGCCGTACTCAGAACTTGCCATGCTTGCGGGCGTTCCCCTTGCGCGCCTACAATCCGTCGCGCGCATGGCGATGACCAGCGGTCTCTTTGTTGAACCATCACCGGGCCTCATTTCCCACAGCGCATTGTCGGCACCCTTCGCGACGGACGAATCACTTCGCGATTGGGCGCGCTTCATGACAACGTACAGTGCCCCGATGGCCAGCGGCATGGCCGAGGCAACGGTGCGGTGGGGCGAAACATATGCGAAGCATCAGACTGCCTTCAACGTCTCGTTTGATACGGAATTGCCGTGGTTCGACTACGTCAAAGCGACACCAGGACTGCCTGAAGAGTTTGCAGGCTACATGCGCGCCATGGGGCACAGCACGAGCGGACGGCTGCAGCACCTGGTCGAAGGATTCGACTGGGCGTCTTTGGGTCGTCATGCAGTGGTCGTTGATGTTGGCGGGTCCACGGGCCAGGCGTCTATTGCACTGGCTGAAGCATTCCCAGACTTGCAGCTTGTGGTGCAGGACCTGCCTGAAGTGGTCGCTGTAGGAGCGGGGATGCGCAGGAATGTGGGTGTCAATAAGGGTTCGGAGTCCGAAGTTACTGCAAGGATTGAGTTCGAGGCGCATGACTTCTTTGATCCGCAACCAGTAGTCACGGGTGCGGCAGCACCTGCGGTTTATCTGCTGAGGAAAATATTGCACGATTGGCCGTTTGAGCGCGCAAGAGTCATTTGCCAGCATCTTGCTGATGCTTTGCTCGCGAACCGGAACCCTGATGCTATGGTTGTCATCATGGACACGATTCTACCGCCGCCTGGCACTGTTGGACATTTGCAAGAAGCTGGACTACGTGTGCGTGATCTGACTATGGCGCAGTGCTTCAACAGCAAAGAAAGGGAGCTATTGGAGTGGGAAGAGCTTCTGGGAAGCACGTCTCCGCCATTGATCATCAAGTCGTGGAAACAGCCATTGGGTAGTGCTATGGCTGTCATGACAGCTGCGATCAAGCCATTTTGATTTGGGTATCGCGCCAGCTATGTGTGAATCAAACCAATCTATCCACGCAAGTCTATAATGTCCTTCGCAATCTTCGCCGCAAGGGCATCTGCTACTTGTCAATTGTGTTCGTCAAAGTGCATGCATTGATGGCATCACTTACAAACAGTAGCCTGTGGATGTCCCGGTGGGAGAAACGGCAACACCGAAGCGTCGACGATACGCAGGCTTTGCGTTCCAAAAACACGCCCTCGCGCATCGACCACTGCGCCAGACTCCGGTGATTTTCCCATCTTGCCTGTGTGTACTTAGCTCAGGCCCTCCAAGTAGCGTAGATGAAACTTACATGTGCAAGCAGCGTGGAAGAGCTGGATGGCTGTCTCTCTAATCGCGTCAAGTATTCCTTCGTCACTACTAACGTTCAGTCCAGGCAGCACTTCTTCCACCCATACGCCTTTCATCGCATCTGTGTTCATCATCTCGCGTAACCGCTTGAAGGCCAGAAGACTTAATTCTTGGTCTGCAGGATGCGTCAACCAATTTGGATTGATAACAGGAGGCACGGCTGTGTCAATGCTACTGATCGTAATGTTACCGCGGCTTTGCTGAACCAATATAGCACCCGCCGGCGACGCATACATGAATGGCGTATCTGGCGCGCCCGTGATGTAATTTTGGTTATTGCCGCTGTACGCATCTAGCATGAGGAACTCAAACGTTGGCCAGTCTGGAGTTCGGGACTTGATAGCATCGCGCGCATAGTCGCTGAGGCCTTCCGCTGTTGGATTCAGTCTCTCCCATGCGAGAACTTCGCCGCCGGGATTGCTGAGGATTCCTGTGCCGTTTTTGGCGTATTCACTCATTGCTCGGGCGAGAAAGGTTGCATTTGATAGCGCAGAATGTGTTATTGGCGTCACATGATAGCTGGCTCCGAAAAGGAGATGGTCTTCCAGATTCTGGCCAACACCTTCGAGTTCAGACACGACTGTGATGTTGAATCGCTTCAACGTCTCGTGAGGTCCAATCCCTGAGGCCATGAGCAGCTGTGGTGATTGAAACTACTGGCAGTCAGCACTTCTATGGAATGTTCAAAGCCATCGTCCGACTCACTGTCCCAGCGCAGATAATGACTTCTTTTGATGCCATCAAAGCCACTTCTGAGCCATTGCGATCGACAACCGCCCCAACAGCCAGAGTCCCATCAAATAAGACGCGTTTCGTGAGAGTACGGGCGTAAATACTCAAGTTACTGGTATCCTCCATACCACTAAGAAAAGCATTTGAGCTTGTCCTGGTATTTCCATCTGGGTTGATGGTGTTGGCCGAGTATTGGACGCCAGAAAGAATTCCACTGACAAAGTCGTTGGCTACTGGTAGGCCGAGTTCCTCCCATGCAGCTTTAAAATACGACGACACAGGATTCACCCAGTTATCTGAGAAAGAAACATGTAGCGGTCCGGATCCTGCCGTGAACGCGCTCGTTGCTGGCGGGACCGATGCATTGCTTGGCCGAATAGCATTATTTGGGGGCGTGTAATTTACGTTTTGCCTATAAAATGGAAGGAAGTTGTCGAACCTGTACGATGCGTCGTCTAAAATTGAAGCCCATCTATCAAGCGCTTCGACCGTCGGTCGTTGATAGGTGAAGTAGTTTCTTGCAGAACTACAGCGCAGTTAGACGAACAGGGGACAGAACTGCAGAATACATGCCTGCCACCGAGCGTTTTGCCGCGGGCATAATGCAACCTCCTGTTGTTGAGACCCTGTCGTTCATCAGCGAAGTAACCATGAAAAGCAGCAGAAGCATGTAGACATCACGCACCGCTTGTGGGGTAGTGACAAACCCCCAGTCCACTGCGGGGAGCACATCGTCCGGGCTTGCGCCAGCCCCATAAATCGCAAAAGCGGGCGTTGTGCCGAGATCGCCAATATCGTCTTCGTAAACCCCACCTGCTTCGACCAGCGCGACCGAGTAGGATGCTCGAGCTAGGGTGGTGGCTATGACCATCCCCGCAGTACCGCCGCCAATAACAACGTAGTCAAACGTTGCATCACGGACTTGACGTGAATCTGCACGGCTTGTTGGTTTAATTGGGGTCGATGTGGATATGGATGCCAGGATGAGTCCCACGACCAATGTGAAAAGGGGCGTCATGCCGAAGGCTGCCAAATGCAATATGGGTGACAAAAGACTGGTAACTTTCTGGGATTCAATTGCATAGATGGACGGACAAGTTAATAAGGTTACCTGCTGGGTACATAGAACCCACACCTGAAGTCAATCACCAAGAACTAGCAACTTAGCCACTTACTATTCGTGGACGGCGTGTTCAAGCTGCGATTTAATGCGCTATACCTAGACGCCTTTCGGTCTCCGTAAAATCCTCAAAACGAGGCTTAGCTGTCCATATCACACGTAAGATCCTGCCTATTTAACAAATCGATATCACTCTATCCCTGTTGCAAGGGAGCCTACCTATCTACTAGAAAAGACCCGCATTTCAACATGCAATCACCACACGTCATCGTCATTGGGGCTGGCGTAGCAGGACTGGCGGTTGCACAAGGCCTCAAAAAAAGGAACATCACTTTCTCCGTGTACGAACGCGATGGTCTGCTGGACTCTCGTCGACAGGGCTATCGGATCAAAATCAGCGGCGAGCTAAAGGACAAGCTTGTCAAACTTCTTCCAGCCGAGATTTTCAAAATCGTTGAAGAGACAAGTGCTCGGACTGTCTTGGGCGAAACGAACATCAACGCTTCCAGCGGCTCCATCACAGCCTCTCGCAGAGGCCGAGTTCCTCCCGGTGCTGCGACCCCTCTTACGATAGACCGGGGTCTGCTGCGCCAAGCTTTGATGACTGGGATCTCAGAATTTGTACACTTTGGCCACGAATTCGAGCGCTACGAGGAAGCTACAGCGGACGACACCGAAGGCCCAAAAGTGTGCGCATTCTTCGCCAATGGAAGCTCGAAGTCAGGATCAATGCTTCTTGGAGTTGACGGCTCCAAGTCTCGTGTTCGTCAGCAGCTAGTTCCAGGCCCTCAGTATATACAGGATACCGACACATGCTGCGTGTACGGGAAAACACAGCTGAGCGCTGAATTACAGGAGCAATGTCCAGAGTCACATCGCCGGTGGCTGACAGTCGTGAAGGATGAGGCGCCCTTTACCCAGAACATCATCTTCGGTGATGGGCCCGTCGTCATGGTGCTGGAACCGTGTCGATTCTCTAACCGACACATGTACACCCAGCTTCCAGAGGACTATGTGCATTGGGGCATCATGTTTCGACCAGGTATGCTGCGAGTGCAGGCGAAAGAGTTGGATTATGTGCTACGGGATGGGGCTAAGCTTGCTCTTGGTCTTACGGCTGATTGGCACCAATCTATCCGCTGCCTGGTCGAGCTGCAAGACAGTCAGCTGACTGTGGCAATGCGGGTCTACTCATCTCCTATCAATATTCCGGTCTGGAGATCCTCTGCCGTGGTGACCATTTTGGGAGATGCCGCACATACCATGTCGCCTGCGGGCGGAGTGGGCGCTGTCGCGGCCTTGCACGATGCTTGTGCAGTCGTGGATATGATTGTGAATGATAAGATTTCCGTGGATACTATAGCCAGACTCGAGCAAGGCATGCGGAGTTCTGCCGAGATCATGCTGCAAAGAACAGACGCAGCGAGTAGATGTATGCTAGGTATCGGTCTAGCTGCATCATAGAGTTAGGTCGCCTTGGAGTGAATCTGGTGGGAGGCTTTGATGATGCGCGACCGTTCTAGATAGTATCCAATACCGATCATAGAGAAGAGAACAGCGCAAATGTACAGTTGAGGAAATCCCTTGCCAAACTCGGGGTCGACGGGCAGGGCGCCAGGGTACACCGCGGCACTAAGCTGCGCTACCCAGTTCAGACTCAGCAGCAGGATGACGAAGTGGAGCGAATCTTTTTTATTGGCGATGGGCCGGATGAGATGATAGAGAGCGCTGAGACCAAGCAGCAGACCAGTGCTCATCGTTTGACCGTTGTGGAACTTGGCATGGGGCGGCCATTTTGGATTGTAGACGTGGGTGTGGTCCCAATCAGCAATGAAGCCGCCAATGCTAGTGATTATGGCGACTGAACCGAGCAAGAATCTTCCCAACGTCAGTGTCGTTCCCATGTCGGAGGAGATTCCCAGTCTCTGGGGGCGTAATATTCGACAAGTCTGCTTCTCCGAGACTGCCTGTCCTCAGCGCCTTGATATCAACTCCTTGGGCTTGTTATCGAATGCCCAGTCTTAACTTGGGCTCGTGGGGCGGAGTGTTTGTGTTGCGCACATAGATGAACAGGTGGTCGTGCAGCTCGCATGGATAAGTAGGTAGTCGCGCGGCTAATTAGGATAAGTAGGGAGTCGTGCAGCTCACATGGATATAAGTACGCCTGGCTGACAGCGGACGAGAAGAACGAAAACGGTTCAGCTAATCGGGCAGTGGGGGCCGAGTTTCACTCTTGGCGATACATGCGGAAAGCACCAATAGCAGTCATGTGATAAAGTGATTCCGGTGAGCTCCACATGCGCATAAGCCCCAGGCGATGACCGACCCCCGCCGGTTTCCGCCCCGCTTTAGATACAGCAAGCAATGCATCCAACGTTCATTACCTATTCCAGCAGCCGGGTTGTGAAGAGACCACTGGGGTCCCACTTCTGTTTAAGCGCCCTAAGCTTCGATAGCTTGCCCACGTCACGGAACGATAGCGCCAGCGGGCCGCTGCGGGTCGCGTTCTGGAAGTCAATGTACTCGGCGTGGTCCGGGCCGCGCATGGCTGCAATGGCTCTGTCGCTAAAGGCGTCGACCTTTGCGCGGTTGGCGACATCCGTGTGCCAGATGAAATTGTTCATCCACAGGCGCACATCGTGCAGACTGCTAGCTGTGGGTAGCGCGGGCGCAGGTGCCGGTCGCGCGTCCCACTGGAAATTGAAAGAGGTACTGATGGCATCCGGACACTCGCGCACCATCTCCTGCCACAGCTCCACCACCTGCAGAAAAGCCGCGGCGTCGAAGCGACGGAGCCCGACGGTCGCGAAGCGCTTGAAGTCGCCTTTTGCGTTGAAGGCATCGCGCCCATCGCTGACATTTTGGATCGGCACAGGCCCACCTTTGGCGACAAGTGGCTGCAGATCGTATAGTGGCTGATACGCCTTTGCCGCATCCGCCGGGTCACCTGTCAGACGGGCACCCACCACCAGTGCCGGCTGGCGTTGCGGCGGTGGCGCCATAACCATCAGCAGTCCGGCAGTAGCATACGTGCTGTCGTCGGCTAGCTTCTCCATTGCCGACGCCACTTCTGCCGCTCTCGCGAGGGGGAAGACAAACATGCCGCTCCATATCATCCCCTGCTCGTTTCCCAATCTGGCAAATGGGTACACCCGGATCGTAAGCTCCGTGATCAATCCGAAGTACTGGCCAGCTCCTCGTAGCGCCCACAGTAAGTCTGCTGCTTTTTCTTCGCTAACCTCGAGCACCTCGCCCTTTGCGTCGACCATGCGAGCGGAAAGGATCTGGTCTGAGCCATACCCTACACAAGACGTGACGACTGATGCCCCGCCATTCAGGAAATACGGTATCGCGCCAACAGGGTTGCCGTTGCCCAGAGCGGTAAACAGCCCTTGCTCAGCCAAGGCAACAGCCACCTGCTTGGATACGATGCTACCTCGCAGTGTAGCCTTGCAGCCGACCGCATCGATGTCGATGCCGCTGTACTTGCTGAGGTCGATGATAATGCCGCTTTGATCGATGGTGCTCCACTCGCTATGTCCGCCGCTCTTGGTAACGAAGGGCACTGCTGACTCCACGGCCCATTGCACCTGTGCATGCGCTTAGTTATCTCCTGCTGACTGTGGGTGCAGGTGTGGAGAAACATACCGTCCTTTGAATCTCCTCCTCAGAAGTTGGCAGAACAATAGCCGCCGGTGTTTTGCGGCCAACGTCAGTCCATCGCTTCGCGTACTCGATGAATGCCTGGTCATGCTGGTCCGTCAAGATAGACACGTCCGGGCCTAGCAGCGCCTGGAGCTTGCCGACTTTTTCGAAGATGGCCATGACTGAATGCCGCAAGGAAAATAGTCAATTTGAATACTGTCGTAAACCAATGTTGGGCGAAATTGTTTGTTGTATTGAGAGCAACTGTGCCGCTATATAGATCATGACGAGGCTAAGCCTCAATAGGCAATGGACTAGCTATGGCAGGCCTAGTGCGGCACAACAGTGAAGTGTGCATTGACTGGTTTGCCCGGCCAGCAGTCAGCGCGAAAATGAGAGGCAGGGTTACGCACATAATCCCCGTGGGCGGTATCCCCAGCGCATAAGCACCGGAGAGCCTGTTGGTGCTAATGAGATAGTGGGCTGTGTAACCCGACGAAGGCGGGCTTACGCTTACAAAGTATGGCGACCCAGCAGGTTCGCCAAAAAACACCGTCTTCGTTCTGCGCAGTCTTCGCTATGGCATATGGTGGTGACCACGATCGGCGCGCGTTTGCCATTACCATTAACTGGGTATTCACTTGCATCTCGCTATGTACGTAGGCCGCCACGGCCATTATACAACCTTTGCGCAACCCTTGCGTAACCCTTGCTCATTACCTCTCTAGGTACTGTCACGCTCCGATTCGCCTCGCGAAGACTCCTAGAGGGATCGCGTCTAGAAATTGACGACGGCATGATAGTCTTCGCCATGCTCGTTGTTCTCGCGCGAACGATTTGGTTGTCGGTCAATGTTTCTATGGGGTTTGGTCGACACTTGACCGACCTCCTCAAGGAAGATCCCGCAAATGCCCTGAGATTATCTCCGTCGTCCTACGGTCTCACAGTCCTGAGTCTATGGACGTTTGTGATTCCCAAGATACCCGTCGTAGCGCTGCTCACACGTTTGTTCGTCATTAGCACCAAGCGGCTCGGTCGGATACTCTGGACTATGTTGGCTGTCCTCATCGTCTGGAATAGCATCATGACCGTCATCGCGTTCGCCAAATGTGACCCTGTGCGGAAGAACTGGCAACCTGCGCTTCCCGGAACATGTTTGAATCCAAAAATATATCTTTACATGGGTTACTTTTCTGGAGGTCGGTTGAGTATCCTGTTCCATTGATGATCCTCCACTAATAGAATGCAGCATATTCCGCATTCCTCGATTTTGTCTACGCGATCTATCCAATGGTGAAAGTGTGGCAGCTTCAGATGGAACAGTCTAGAAAGACACTCATTGTGCTTTCCTTCAGTCTTGGGATACCGTATGTGCAAGCAACTGAACCCCTCAAGTCTCACGCTGATGCAACCGTCTAGCGCTGGAATTGTTTCCATCGTCAAAATCACAACGATCGCATCCCTACTTGAAGCCGGTGACCCAACATGTAAGCATTCAAGACTTTTCACCTCTCTGCAGTACAGCCTGACGCGACCTAGTCGCAACCGTTCCGCTCGAAGTCTGGAATGTCGTGGAATCCTCGGCTCTCATCATTGCAGCCAATGTACCCATGACGAAACCTATCATGTCACTGGCGTTTTCTCGTCTCAAGCGCTTTACCTCTTACATCAGCAGCTTCGCTTCAAGAGACAGCCAGGGTGGTTCAAAACTCAGCACGTTGCCTTCAAATCCATCGGGATCTGGAAGTAAACGCATGTCGGCGTTGCGCCAGGGATGGCAGCGGCAAGACAGTAGGGAGGACTTTTTGTTGGAGGATACTAGGCTTACGAGCGTCGTTACGAAGTGAAGGGCGTGGGTAATGTGACCTCGGTGTCACTTTTTCGTGTAATAGGTAGGATGAAGGAGAATGCTAGGCGTACGGTCGTAACAATTCTCTAGAGGAGTGTGCTTACAATTGCGCGGCCACGTTGTCAATGTCTTCGTGAAGACCGCGTTTGATGGCAATGGGAAGGTGAGGCGGATAGCGTCAAGATACGCCAGGGCTAGTGACTGCTGGAAATGCTCATTTCTGCCTGTGTCATTCTTTGTCGATTATATAATGAAGCCATTGTTAATTTTGCCTTTTCAGTGCAGACCGTGTGAGTTGCCAGCACGTAACCAGGTCGTTCCGACAACCATCTCTCTCAGTACGCAATGAAAATTCGCAAACCGCACAGTAATAGCGCTCATGAAATTCAACTAACAATTTCACCAATAGCATTTTTTGTATGAGCAACTCGGTGGACTACTACGTCGACAGGCCCCAGCCCTCGTACACCTTACCCAAACTGCCCCTCCAAACATCCACACCGACCTGGCCAAACCCGACCCCAATCTCTTTCTTTGGCCCGCCATCTGCATCCCCCTGCTCCAACGCCTGAAAAAAGCCATCTACAAATTCATTCAACGGCATTGCGGGGAACGCCTTCTCGGGCCCACCCTGCATAGCGACCGTAGCCTCGCGATGCTCGCGATCGAGCCCTGTGTCCGTATACGGCGGCACAATCTCCACAACCCTCATATTCCGCTGTGCTTCCGCGGCTTGGAATCCGAGCTGCTGGCGTAAGGCTAAGGCTAATGCGTGGATACCGGCTTTGGAAGCGCAATAGGTTGGATAGAAGCCCAGAGGGACATATGCGAGACTGGAACTCGTGATGAATAATGTCGTCTGTGTTCCTTGGAGAGCTAGAGACAGCAGATGCGGAGCAAACGCTTGCACTAGCAGCGCAGGGGCCGTGAGGTTTGTACTGATTTCGAGTGCGATGGACGTGGCACTGATGCTGGTGGGGTCGAAAAGGCTGAAGGACTTCTGGATGCCCGCGTTGATAATGACGGTATCGAGGGTGGGGAATGAAGCAAGGATCTCTTGCGTGTTGCTAGTGAGCGATGTGATGTCGGTGATGTCGAACTATTTGAGTGTCGTGTTAGTTGGTGCGTACTGTATCAGGATTGGATGCTGGTAGTTTACCGCCCGTGTCTCCAGGCCGATCAGTTGCTCGGCCAGCTCTTTGAGCTTTTCTTGGTTCCGTCCTGTAACAATGACCTTCTTGCCGAGCCCATGGAAGCGACGCACAAGCTGTTCTCCGATGCCTGCGGTACCGCCGATTACTAGTACCGTATTGATTCGTGCTGCCATGTTGGTGACTGCGAGTAAGCTAGATGTCGCTAGCACAATTCACGTTCAAATTGGTTTTATGTCTGAGCATCCAGTGCGCGGAGTGCTTTGCGATTTTGCAGCGTACGATCTCGATTGGCAGTCTGACCCCTCTTTCAGGTGCGGCACAGTCAAGCAGGGCTCACCCTTTTCTTGGCCGCATATGTCGGGTTTTATTGGCAAGTGGTGGTGTCACCTTACTACCTCGAGGGTTCAGGCTTTCGGTGCCCGAATTTTGAGTACCTTATCTATGTGCATGCTGATCGCGACACACCCACAACTAGTATTCGGCAGGGTTGAAGGTGCATGCATAAACTACCTACGATTTGCCCCGCCACACAACAACATAATCAAGCTTGAGGTAGAATGTTAATCTGCGGAGAATGCGCTGTCTGCGCATGTTGGACTATGCAAGCTGGGCATCAGTCTACAATGTGTGGGCTATGACAAATAGCCACATGATAAACGTGGTAGTATATGTTGTATATTGGTCTCTGTAGACTCTAGATCATATGAAAATCGCTCTTCACTAAAGATATCGATGCAATGTCTAGTATAACGACGGTTTACCTGTTTGGAGATCAAACGGACGATGCCCGTTCGTGCATCCGCAACATCCTTTGCACTGAACAGGGCCCCGTCCTGGAATCCTTCCTCCGACAATCCTATGGGCTTTTACGAGCAAACATCTTGAGCCTCGGCGAGAATGAAGCGCCGAAGTCGAATTTTGGATCGCTCCTGGAGCTTTTGGATGCAGAGTTTGAAGGTGCCCCAAGGGTAGCGACGGAACACGCTCTCACGAGCATTGCGCAATTTGGTGTGTTCTTCATCGAAACCCATCTTTGTAGAGGGCACTATCCCTCTGCGAGAGAAACGTACTTGATGGGACTGTGTAGTGGCTCTCTCACGGCTGCAGCTGTGAGTTGCTGTCGCTCAGCAACAGAACTGCTGCCTGTTGCTGTCGAAGTCACAGGCTTGTCTTTCAGATTGGGTTTATTGGCTTCGGAGACTGGTGACTTGTTTCTTTGCAAACCTGCTGTCGGAGATCGTTCCTGGGCTATGACTATGCCTGCCTCCCTATCCGACCTCATCGACGAATATATACGGACTGTAGCATCAAAGGTGAGTGAGAAGTGATCTTTCAGAGCTTGGGATCGCGATTTTAACACTTGCAAGGATATTGTGAAAGCCTCAATCCCGTATGTGGCTGTCAAATCGCCCAAGGCCGTGACTATTTGTGGTCCTCCGCATGTCCTGGCGCAAATGGCCAACAGTGAAGAATTCGCGACAATGACTACAACATCCTTGCCGATATATGCCCCATACCACGCTGAACACGTCTACAACTCTTGTAGTATAACAAAGCTCCTACGCGGAATGCGGCTCAATGTGGAGACCTTTGCCAAGTCCATCCCCATCATCCTGAAACAAACGACTGCGAATGAAGTTGGTGGCGTCAACCTTGTGCAGATGCTTTCAGCCGCAATTGAGTCAATCTTGATGCAGTGCATGGACATCACAGAAATGACTAGTGAGCTCAGCATTCAACTTCAGAATGGGTCAACAGAATTGCGTATCATACCCATCGTGAGCGGAGCAGCTCCCATGATACAAGACATACTCAGGTCGAAGACAAGCATACCCATCAAGATTGAGAAGCCAAACTTGGAACTCGTGTGCGACACTGGAAACAGGGGCACTAGATGCAAGATCGCCATCGTCGGGTCATCGGGTCGCTTTCCACAAGCTGATAACAACGAAGCTTTCTGGGATCTGCTAGTGCAAGGAAAAGACGTCCACAAGCCGGTTCCAGCCTCGCGTTGGAGTTCAAGTTCCCACGTCGATACTTCAGAGAGACCAAAAAAGAATACGAGTGCGACACCGTATGGTTGCTGGCTTGAGAATGCTGGACTGTTCGATGCTAGGTTCTTTGGCATGTCTCCTCGTGAAGCGGAACAAGTCGATCCCGCCCAGCGCCTTGCACTTATGGCGACCTACGAAGCGCTTGAAGACGGCGGGATTGTTTCGGGCCAACGGTCGGCGCAACCAACGCGTGTGGGAGTGGCATTCGGAGTGACGAGCAATGACTGGATGGAGACGAACAGTGCTCAGAATATCGACACGTACATGATACCCGGCGGCAACCGAGCGTTTATCCCCGGGCGAATTAACTATACCTTCAAATTCAGCGGTCCTAGCTACGCGGTCGACACAGCCTGCTCTTCGAGTCTAGCTGCGATTGATGTCGCGTGCCGAGTGCTCCGGATGGAGGAGGCAGACACTATGATTGCTGGCGGAGTGAATATCATTACCAACCCAGATTTTACCGCAGGGCTTGACAGAGGGCATTTTCTCTCGAGGACGGGGGGTTGCAAGTCATTTGACGACGAGGCAGATGGCTACTGTCGCGGAGAAGGAGTTGGAGTCGTCGTCTTGAAGCGTTTGGATGACGCTATTATGGATGGCGACTCGATCAAAGGCGTTCTTGTCGACATCCGCACCAATCACTCCGCTGAGGCAGATTCCATCACGCGACCACATTCAAAAGCGCAGAGCGATCTCTTTGCCAGGCTGCTGAACGGCTTGAGTCCGGCGAAGATCAGCTATGTCGAGATGCATGGGACAGGAACACAGGTTGGAGACGCAACTGAGATGTCAAGCGTTTTGGACGTCATTGCGCCTAGTCGCGGACCTCGTCGTCGAGCGCGGGAAGAAGCTGTGCATCTAGGGTCAGCTAAAGCTAACGTTGGCCACGGTGAGGCGGTCGCAGGTGTCACCAGCTTCATCAAGCTGCTGCTAATGCTCGAACATGATACAATACCGCCACATGTTGGCATTAAGACGCGTCTCAATCGCCGATTCCCGAAAGACCTGGCGGATCGAGGGGTCCGTATTGCATCAGCACCGGTGCCCTGGAAGCGGCGTGGTGCAGCACCTCGCTTCGCATTGGTTAACAATTTTAGCGCTGCGGGAGGTAACACTGCTTTGCTACTTCAGGATGCGCCTGCGCAAGAGAAGCCAGTCATCACGGGAGGCATACGGCCGGTCTTTCCGGTTGTCATCTCTGCTAAGACCCGGTCAGCACTGCATGCCAACGCCCGAGCGCTTCTCTGCTTCCTTCAGAAAGGCCACAAGGACTTGCCATCCCTGTCTTACACGACCACTGCGAGACGCATGCACCACTCGCATAGGCTTTCTTTCAGTGTATCATCTGTGGAAGAGCTTATTTCCAAGCTTGTTGCTATCTCGTCGCAGGCCACGGACTCCCAATCGAGTAGCCGTCCGCCTTCAGTATGCTTCGTCTTCACTGGGCAGGGTGGGCATTACTTGGGCATGGGCCGAGAGCTGTACCACACAAACAAGGCTTTCAGAACCGATGTCCAGCGCTTCGACACCCTCGTGAAAGTTATGGGATTCAAGCCTTTCCTTCCTTTGATCCACAGCAACACAGGGGATGTCTCCAACTTCAGTGCTGAGCAAACCCAACTAGCACACGTCAGTCTGCAAATGGCATTATGCAGACTTTGGAACTCCTGGGGCATAGTTCCTTCCAGCGCGATGGGCCACAGCCTGGGGTATTATACTGCTCTCAACGTGGCAGGCATCCTCTCAGATTCCGATACTTTGTTCGCGGTTGGCACGCGGGCCCGCTTACTGCAAAATAAATGCAAGTTAGGTACACACTGTATGCTGGCTGTCAAAGCGAGCAAGGACGATGTCGAGCACCTGTTGCCAGCTGCTGCTGCTGTTGACATCGCATGCGTTAACGGGCCTCATGATGTCGTCTTGAGTGGAAAGCGGATAGATATTGAAACAGTAGGTAAGAGTTTGCAAGAACAGCAGATTCATAGTGTTGTGCTGGACACCCAGTTTGCCTTCCACTCTTCACAGGTTGATTGCATTTTAGAGGACTTTGGGAAAGCTATGCAGGCCATCAATCTTGAGGTTGCATGCATTCCTATCCTCTGCCCTCGAACAGGAGAGCTCATCCAAACCGGAGAAATCTTGGATCGAAGACAATTGGTTCATCATTGCAGAGAGACGGTAGATATCATATCCGCTATAGAAGCTGCAAAACGTCAAGGAGTTATTACCAGCTTCACGCGCTTTCTGGAGGTCGGCCACAACGCAACCGTTACATCAATGCTCAAGGCCACGTTAGGAAAGTCATGCCATGCTAAGTCATCACTCAGAAAGAACGTACACAACTGGAAATCTTTGACTGAAACGGTGGCATGGCTATACGAAGCTGGCGCGAACGTTCAGTGGGCACGATTCCATCGCGACTGCGGGTCGTCTCTCGAGGTTGTTCACCTTCCACACTATATCTGGGACCTCAAAAACTACTGGATACAATATGTCAATGACTGGTCTCTGCGCAAGGGGGAGCCCGCCCTGACATGCTCATGTAGCAGCCGACCAACTCTTTTGAGCAGCGTAATACACAGAGTTCAGGGGGAACGCATCGAGAGACTACCAGCTACCATCGATATACAGTCAGATCTCAGTAGGCCAGAAATGCGTGGTATTGCGCATGGGCACAAAGTCAACGGTTTGCCATTGTGTACCCCGTCAATCTACGCCGAAATAGCCTTCACTATCGGCCATTATGTACAAAAGATATTTCCCGACCAACTATCCTCGACTCAAGTATCCATCGAGAATATAAATATTATCAAGGCTCTGGTTGCGACACTTGAGGAACCGCAGTGGCTGCAGACTCTCGTGAAGGTGGACGAGCATCTGCACACAGTATGTAGCTTCTCAACAGTACAGGAAGATGGGACTATCATCATGCACCACGCGGATTGCGTAATTGGCTATGATGCGCCTTGCTCCGATACAGCGACAGAAGAAGACGCTATACAAATAAACAGCGCAATCAAGACAGTTCGCGCTGGGTTGGCAAGCGGTAGTGCCTATCGGTTTAACCCTACCATGGTCTACAGGATGGTTGCGACACTAGCAGAGTTCGACCCAGCCTATCGAGGACTGCAAGAGGTAGTCCTCGATAGCAAAAACATGGCAGCCACCAGTGTGGTATCCTTCAACGCAACGCCGGAAGATCAAAGCTGTCAATCCTTCACGATCTTGCCGACTTACATTGATTGTTTCTCACAGGTAGCCGGCTTTATCATGAATGCACACGATGCGTCAGACCTCGAGAAGGAATGCTTCGTGAATCATGGTTGGGGATCTTTGACGATGTATGCGGAATTGAAAAGAGACTCGGTGTATGAGTGTTATGTGAAGATGGAGAAAGGAGAGGGCAGTATATGGAGGGGGAAACTGACTGTGGTCTGCGGGGACATACTGGTTGCAGCTTTTGACGACCTCACGGTATGTTCTTGATCTTGCTCTCGTTGAACATTCTACTGATAACAAGCAGTTACAAGGCGTGCATCCGAAAATTCTCCATCGCGTTCTATGCTCAGCACAGAAATCCCAGATGCAGAGATCGCAATCATCTCCAAAGCGTGAAGTGGATAATACACTAGAAGATCCATTGCTAGTGGCCGCCACCTGCACCGACGTCCATGAAGGAATCTCTAGTCTTGGCTCATCACTTGATCGGCTCGTCGGTATAGTCTCGGAAGAATCTGGAATCGAAAGGAAAGAACTAAACGATGATGTTGAACTTGCAGGACTGGGCATCGACTCGCTCTTATCTCTCCTCATCGCCAGTCGACTGAAAGACGATCTCGATTTCGATCCCGGTTCGGGGATCACATTCTTCGATGATTACAGAACCTTGGGGCAGCTCAAAGGCGCATATGCGAAGAGTAAAGGCTATTCCCCTGATACAACATCATCGTCAAACTCGGAAAGGAAGGAAACGATGGGCATCGAAACGCCATTGACGTTATCGGAGTCTGGATGCTCAACAGGCGCTGCTTCACCATACCACAGCCCGGAACGTCCTGTCACATCTTTGGTTCTCCAGAGAGCTTCGGCTTTGGATAGTAAGATCCTGTTTCTCTTTCCAGACGGCTCAGGCTCTGCATCATCGTACACATCACTCCCACCCGTCTCACCTCACCTCACTGTCGTAGCGCTTCTGAGTCCGTACCGCCATGATCCGGAGAACATGGCCTGCACACTCGACGCGCTCCTGGTTTCCTACATTATGGAGATCAAACGACGACAGCCAGCCGATGGATACACGTTAGGTGGCTGGTCATCGGGAGGCGTCTTCGCTTTTCGTGCGGCACAGTTGCTTCTACAACAAGGGGATATCGTGCGGGACCTTCTACTTCTAGACAGCCCTCCGTTGCGGGTTGGTGGCGGCCTAGGCCAGCTGCCCGAGCGGTTTTACAAACACTGTCGCGAAGTTGGAATCTTCGGGCAGATAGCCTCTTCTGGCGAAAAGACAACTAGTAGGAAGCACCCAACTTGGCTGACCTCACACTTCAAGGCGACTGTGAATCTGCTTGCAGCTCATCGCGCGACACCACTGACAATCCCGCATGGATACAGTAAGCCACGCGTATCATTGTGCTGGGCTGGGAAATGCGCGCTTGATGGGATCAGATACAAAGCCTTCGAAATTGAGGCTGGCGACTCTGAAGATGTCAGGTTTCTCGCAGAACCACGACGGGACTTCGGACCAGGGGCGTGGGCCGACCTCTTTCCGGGTATCACTTGCCATGTCACGTTACTAGAACAGTGGGACCACTTCAACATGATGGTAGGCGATGGCGCAAAGGATCTAAGTCATTTTTTTGCGACTCGTATCTAGCTAAGCAAACCTATATGGGAAACCACTGGTTGAACCTCTTCTTTGGGTCGTACTTCTTCTTCAGCGTCGTCAATCTGGGCAGACTTGCTCCATAGATATCCACATTACTCTCATCCCCAAACCCATTGTTGATGTACACTTTCCCAGTGAACTGCTTATTTGACAAGCGCCAGAGCGCGCGCACCGTGTTTCCGTAAAATAGTGCCTTTTGCTCCAACGAGGGATCTGTGTAGAACACAGTGATCGAGGCGTGGAATTTTATTGTGTGGCGCCACGGAATCGCGCTGCTGTCGTCTGGAACAGAGCGTACTTTGTCTAGTGCATAGGCGTTTAGAAGTATACTACTGCGCTCGAAGCCAGGCTGTCGCACGAGTTCCAGCCAGGAGTTGTACACTTGACGCCATATCTTTGGATCCATACGTTCAAGGCCGACACCCCATGTTGGTCTGAGGCCACCCTTGACACATGCGTTGTTAGAACCGTTATTCCATGAAGTGTATGGTGTCATTGTCGTAGCGTCCGAAATGGGGCCAATGTCTAGGAGGGACTGAAATGCAGCGCGGCCTTGGGCGGTGGAGCCATGGTAGAAAGGACTGGCAATGATTATTTGAGAGTTGGTTGCGGCTTGGTTGACGAAAGTGAGCGTCAGGGCCATGGGTGGGCGAAAATGCAGTTTTCCGGCAGCGGTAATAACGGCCTCTAACTGATCGGGTCGGAATATGAGAGAACCAGTCCATGCTAATAGGTCGGATGCGATAACAGGATGGCTACGCACCACCACTGATGTGACGATGCCGAAGTTTGGTGCGGCACCGCGAAGTGCATACCTGCGACCTAGTCAACACCTTTTCAGATTTAGATGGTCTTCGCAAGAGAGGCCTCTTACCAAAGATCGTTGCTAGATGGCTTCACTGTAATCGCATCGCCGAAGGCGTTGACGAAGTTAAGTGAGAGCAGTTCATCTGCACCCAGACCGAACTCGCCTTGGAGCACTCCAATGCCACCGCCCAGCGCTGCACCAAGATAACCAACGCAATTACAACTAGCCGTAACAATAAGAGCGCTGTTCGCAGATGCAGCCGGAATTACATCGCCAGTGAGTGCACCACCGGCCACTATCGCTTGGGTCTTGTCGGCGTTAAAATTGATGGAACGAAGGCGATCGAGATTGATGCCAATATCGTTGCTGCTCATACTGAATGTGGTTGCCCAGCCATTACCTCCATTCTGGGTGAAGAATTTGATGTTGCGATCGATCGCCCATTTAACCTATGCATTGTGAGCACGACTGCGCGGGCGAGTGGATGGAGCGACAGCCGTACAGTGATCTGGACATCGGCTTCTGAAGCTGGATGGACGACTGCACCTGGTAGTGGAGCTTTGTAGTCGCTCCAGCGAGGAGCATCGGTATCGATGACTGCGCCGGACGAAAGCAGAGGCAGGAGAGACGCCGTGTTGACAGCTGCGTAAATTACTTGGAAGAAAGCCGAGGCAATCAGAATACCTTTCAGGAGCTGTAAGAAGATCATTTTTTCCCGGCTATTGAAACCATGTAGGGACGTGTGGATTCTAATACTTCCAAGGTTCGGTTCGCGAGCAAGGGTGCGCTCCACCCGGGTTTGCTTTTGGCCATCAGCCGCCACCAACACCGTACCAGTATCGCTTAAGGCTGTCCTACTTAAGTCGGACATGCGCGGACTTGACGTGTCCGTGCCGCCAGGATTCGTATGCACCCCCCCTAGCTCAAATATAAAGCTGCAATGACAGCTGCAATAGCTGTCGTTAAGAGTTTTTGTTGTATTGTTGTATTGCCATCTCCTAATAGCACAAATACCCAGGGAGCGACCCGCAGTCGGTGAGGGAACGATAGATTTCAGCATCTAGCTAGCTTTTCGATAGGTGTCGGTGAAGTCCTGAGCCCTCAGGGTGATCTAATCTAATATACTGGCTGCTTACTTCATCATCCGATCACGTGCGCAACTACTACACCACAGTATTTGTGTGTATTGAGCTATAGCTATGCATTTAACTCATAATACTATACTGAAGACTTCAATTCCTTTAGTAATACATCTAGGTAGATTTGCAGTTATGTAATGTTAGCTTAGGTAGTAAAGAAGATCGCTTCGAAGGTTAGACAAAATTTAAGCATTAGGCTCTTCCATGACTGAGAGTTTATGTTGTTCGGTAAATGCTTACAGCCTTGGAAACCATTATCTTGGCTTTCGATTCAAAAGTATACAAGCTGTACTGCAACCCGTAGATGACATACGCTCGATCCGCGTTTTCTTTGCAAGGCGCGTCGACTTCCTCGAGCCGTTGATGGTCCCACGGCATGAAGTTGAGATTCAGACGAATTTTCGACAATCAACGTCTGATATACCAGCGACAAGTAATGCCTATAGATTTTAGTTGCAAAGCTCTTGCAGCTTCCGATCTCTTTCTCCATGCCCGTACTTCCAATCTTGTCGCGAGGGGTACAATCGCACATGTAGAAGGTAACTAAGATCCCAGGCCACCACTTGAATTCATATGGACTCTAGTTCGAGTGAACAAAGCGAAGGACCTTGGAAGCAGCGCTGGAGCTATCTTAGCAAACTTCCTTCATTTGAATAGGAACGAGTCGCAATGCTCGTGCACAGCCGCCATAGCTTGCAAGTCTGAATTCAACTCTCAGACGGCTATCTTGATTGATGTGTAGAGACAAGACGACGTTATTGAGGATCTTTTAAAACTCGTTATTGTGACTATGAAATGGAACCAATGATCAGCCTCGGCATACTCCATCTCAATCCGTGTCGAACAGAAACCTAAATTCTTCATCTGCTTGAGGCACATCATCTTACCCCGATACTTGCGCATCAGACTTCACAAAAACCTCCTCGCGCATCATGGTAGCCGTCTCCATCTATAGTCAATTGTTTGGACCTTGCCACGACCGTAATCGAGACTTCGCTTGGAAATCGACTGATTATGTTAAGCTATCTGCTGACCATCAGACAAGCAGGAGTCGGCTTGTCAGCAATACCGGTGTGACTTCAGCTCACGAGTGAACATTAGGAATGATAGGACCACACACATCGCCCCAACCATATCCCCACGACATATGATCATTATTGTCATGAACTACACGCTTGGCATTTCCCAGATCGAGCGTGAATGAAGCGCATCATTGGTGGAGGGCAGAAGGCAAGGGACCTGAGATCACGAATCGTGACCAGCGATACGGCTTCAGCCTCCTTTCTTTCCCATCTGCGACACGCCCTCGCCGAATAAATGCGCAGTATAATGGATCTGCTGATCGATCTATCTTTGTATACGAGGTAAGGCGTCGTCCTCCATGTTACTACGATGAATGATGACGAAGAAGACGACACCACAGCCTTCTGGCAGGTGGCTCAGCTCAGCAAACCTTTCAGGCAACTCCATGAGCATCATGTATAAAGTCCTGACATACGCGCACTTCAACTTTTGTACAACCCCTTCCAAAATCTCACCAAGCATTCATAGGATTGAACTTTTTATCATGACCACACAGCCTCCCTTCGTGCCTCTGCCGCTTCCCCCGGTGGAAGAGTCCAAAGAGTATGGCAAGAACTACATCCTGCACTGGAATCTCTGCGCCCTTGATCTCAACAGAGTATCGCATTCAGTCGCGGGTCCTCAGACTGGACCACCCTTGTCAGCAAGATCTTTGGGCATGTTACACCTAGCGATCCATGATGCGTATTTTGCCATTCAGTCATCCACAGCATTCTCTACCTTCTTGGCAGCCAATGCAGAAGATGCTGAGTTGCGACTCCCTGACCTTAATGGCGCGACAGATGCTCGTCAGGCCGTTGCAGGTGCTGCCTTCACTTTGCTAGGGCTCTTGTACCTACAGGGTGGACCCACAATCTCCAACAATGCGACAGCGCAGCTCCAAGCCGTGCTTGACCGCTTTCTCGCATCTGCACCAGGCGGTGTGGACCAGGCTTCTGGCAGCTACCAGTTTGGAGCGGCGGTAGGCGAGGCCATCTTCCAGCTCCTTTTCCATCCTCCTGGTGTCTCGGCAGACGGGTACCACCCAACACCTGGACGTTACAAGTTCGACGACGAGCCAACCCATCCTGTTGTACTCGTTCCAGTGGACCCCAATGACCCCAATGGTCCAAAGAAAGCAATCAGACAATACCATGGACCTTTTTATGGCAAGACTGCGAAGCGCGTTGCCACTCAGTCCGAACATATGATTGCCGACCCGCCTGGTCTTCGCTCCAACGTCGATGAAGGAGCCGAGTATGACGATGCACTGAGAGACATCATACGCATGGGTGGAGCTATTCCTCTCAACTCGACCAAGCGCAGCCCGGACGATACTGCACGTGGCCACTTTTGGGCGTACGATGGGTCGAATTTGGTTGGCACTCCTCCTCGCTTCTATAACCAGATCATCCGCAACATTGCCGTGCAACACAAGCAAGACGCCGACATCGAGAGTGAAGTCAACAATGCGGATTTCGCGCGTGTCTTTGCCCTTGCAAATGCCGCAATGGCTGATGCTGGCGTCTTTTCGTGGCGCGAGAAGTGGGAGTTCGAGTTCTGGCGTCCACTCAGTGGCGTTCGCGATGATGGTCGTCCAGACCACGGCGACCCTTTCTTCCTTTCACTCGGTGCTCCTTCCACAAACACCAACGACATTCCGTTCAAGCCACCATTTCCTGCTTATCCAAGCGGTCACGCTACCTTCGGTGGCGCGATGTTCCAGATGCTGCGTCGTTACTACAATGGTCGCGTTGGAACCTGGGCTCCAAATGAACCGGACAACATCTGCTTCGAGATGGTGTCTGACGAGTTGAATGGCATCAATCGCGACTTGCGCCAGCCATACGACCCGACTACGCCCATCACGGAGCAACCAGGCATTGTGCGCACACGCATGCCCTACAAGTTCTCCAGTCTTTGGGAAGCCATCTTCGACAACGCCATCTCGCGCGTCTTCCTGGGCGTGCATTGGCGTTTTGATGCCGCCGCTGCGAAAGATATCCTCATTCCCACGGATACGAAGGACGTGTACGCTACTGACAACACCGGGGCGACTGTGTATCAGAATCCGGAGGATATTCGATACGAGACGATGAGCACGAGGGAGGGTCACGAGGGGCTTTTGCCAATTGGTGGTGTTCCTCTTGGTATGGGCATCGCAAATGACATCTGGGAGTCGGGGCTGAAGCCGACGCCTAAAAGCATTCAGCCCGCGCCTCCAGCTGAGCAGTCGAAGGAGGGCGAGCAGGTGGTCATGGGACTACCGAACGCTGCGCCCTAGGCATTTCATAAGCTGACATCTCAGCCCTTGTCTTCGATTGTCGAGCTCGCTTATTGGACGGATCTTAATTTCTTTCGGGTAGTGTTACAGTTATGGACAATGCAGTGCTTACTTGTCGTCCACATTGCTGACTTTCACCACAAGCTTTCCCTTTACATGCCCCGTCTTCAATTTTCGGTAAGCCTCTGGCACGTTCTCGAACGCGAAGACTTCATCGATGACTGGTCTCACTTTTCCATCTTCCAGCAGCTTCCCGATTTCCGTAAAGTGTTCAAAGTTTGTCGCAGCCATGCCAAAAGCGAATGGCCGCTTTCCGCCCCCAAGCACTCCAGGCATTAGGAACCTGAACGCGAGGTCGTACATGAACGATAGGCTCGGCGCAGCTCCAACTTGTACATATTTAGCACCCGGTTTTGTGAACTGTGGCGACTTCCAGTAAAGGTCGTAGTTGGTACCGACGTTGTCGAGGACAAAGTCGTACTTTCCGGACTTTTCGGAGAGCGTGGTGACCACATCGGCTTTGCGATAATCGATGGCCTCGTCTGCACCAAGGTCTCTGCATTGTTGCACATTCTTCTCTTTGCTATATCAGGTCATTGCAAATATTAAATAATCGATGGCTTTCTTACCTGAACATGTTGTCGTGACATGGCACCCCAATGCCTTCGCAATCTGGACCGCAAAAGTACCCGTGCCGCCAGATCCGCCGTTGACGAATATATGGTCGCCAGCTTTTACATTTGGCGCAAGACATTGGTAAGTCACCAAACCACAAACGCCAATAGTCGCTGCGTCTTCAACAGACACGCCATCTGGGATAGGTGCAGTCCCTGCTTTCGAACCGATGATGTACTCTCCTAGCGTTCCAAACTGCTGCTTTGGCTCCAGCTTCCCGAAGACCATTTGGCCAACTTTGACATTACAGTCCGATCCCACTTCAACTACCCTTCCTGAAAAATCTAGACCTGGCGTTGCGGGCTTCGGGATTGCCATGCGCCCAACGATAGGCAATTCGGCAATCTTGTAGTCCACGGGGTTCAGGGCAGCAACGTGCACTTGGACAAGCGACTCTCCGGGCGCAAGCGATCGCTTCTCTGTAGGTAGCGGTACTGAATTATTCAACACGATGGAATTTTCGAGGGTGTCGCTACAATGCGACCATTGCCAGGCCTTCATAGCTGCGGGCAGCTTGCTTCCCGCCTGGGACATGTCGGTGCTGGGACTAATCAGAGACTTGACACAGACTGTTCAAATATTTCGGAAATAGCCTGAGATGCTGAGAGCGAAGTTGAAATATATTGTTTAAACCATCGCTCAACTAGCCGGTTTCTTAGTGTGTCGATGCTGGCACACATCGGGTCGGGTCCCCACTGCCCGGCGAAGAAGCATTGCAACCATAAACTCCACCTTTTCAAGCCGAACAAACATCCTGCGGTCTTATCTTTAGTTCTGGGATTTGGCGTCTCGTGTTGATGATATTAACGATAATTGCCAAATGAACAACTTCCGCGATCTTCACCTCTCCCGCGAAACGATCCTGAGGAACAAAGTGAGCACGTAAGTTTTACTTCCAGGCTCTACCCTCTTGATGCCAGGAAGTAAAGTAGAAAGCAGAAGCTGAGATTTAAGGGGAGTAGTCGACGTTTCAACTATTAGCGCGCCCTATCATCTTAAGGTCGTCGCATTCGCTGGTTCCTCTCTCCTTCCCTTACACTGAGATTCGACGCAGGTTCCTCATATTCACGTCAAACATGCGCTCTCAACACATCGCATACCAAAAGCAACCTCCGTTCTAGAATTTTCCAATTTCTTGCTATCACACGCGTTTCAAGCCCCAGAGAATAATCAACGACAACAAGTGAACTGCCAGTCACCAACCGATCGAAACAGCACCGCCATTGGCCTATAAAAGACCCGTCTCATACTCGACTCTATCTCTTAGTCCCCTCAGTCTGTTCATATCACCTCTCACAACAATGATGTTGTGCAGCGCAACATCTACTCGATCCCCATGCGTGACAACACTGATTCGCTCTGGGGGTTGATTCAGCAAACCATCACATTTCTTGAACAACAGGAACATGATCGTGCCTGCGTTATTGTCAGCTCTTTCGTAAAAAACTCTCGAGGAATGCACGTACTTGCCAGCGCTGACTTCTCAAGGAGAGTAAGGCCAGGAATAGGCTGGAGTTGTTCGATGATGTAGTTGCGATGGGTGAGCTTGCGGGACGAAGTGATGTGTCTGTGGAGTTCTTGGACGTCGGAGCGCAGATTGGAAATGTCTTGCGCCACGCTGGCGAGGATGGGGTTGCTATTCATACTGAGATGCAGGGGCTGTTGGGAATAAAGAATATGTGGGAGGAGGTTTCATGGATTTTGTACGTGCGGTGTAGCAAGCTAGCAAACCAGGAACGGCAAACATGCGTGAGCAGGTGCGCAAACTGATAGCAGCATCCGGAATCTCCTTGAAATTGGAGCACGGAGAAGCAAACTCGAATTCAGTGCGATTATCAGTGAACAGAGACGAGGAAATTAGTTCCTGGAGTCCATGATTGTTCAAACCTGGGAGAACCAAGCCCCGTTCTGAATATACAGCTTTCAAAAGGTGGCGAGTAGTTTACCACTCGATACAGGACACGAGTTACCTGAAGAAACACAGAGTCTCGATCGACGTCAGGGGTTGACTATACCACTTGGGCACTGTGATACCAGGTCACGCACGAACTCGGGGCCACGAAGCAAAATGAAAGGTAGGATTATGAGCAAGCTCTCTGGTGGTAAGATTGAGAAGCAGCTAAGCTTCATTGGCCCTTCCATTGGGTGCTTCTCCAAAGATGTAGGGAGTGGTGGTCCAATACTCTATGTTTTGCAGTAAACAGTACGCGCGCATTCACCCCCCACTCAATCAGTGAAGAGGTGAGCATAAGGAAGCTTTACGATTGTTTCAAAGCTATGAACACCAGCAATTATTCGCTGATGATCAAGGTTGTGGTTGGTGAAGTAACGGAGTCGTGTGGTCGCTAGTTGGTCGAAGCTATTGGGAATGCGCTAACGCTACCTTGGTAGCGCGAGGCTTGAGCTTTGGTTACATCACGAGGATCCTACACTCCACTTCCCTTCACCATTGTTTTCCACCACGCCCGCAGCACACCTGTCCCTCGACCACGAACTGTGCGCTTAGTCACGAGCACATATTCCACGTTGCTGTCGCCTAGAATACCCACACCGCCTCGGCCCGTCGTCTCTCCGCGTGTCCTGCGCCGCTCTAATCGCCGACCGCCTCGCCGACCGCCTCGCCGACCGCCTCGCCGACCGCTTCTACCTCGACTCTACAACACACGTTCACATTATACACCATGGCGTCAAGAAAGAAGGTCCTCCTCAAGGTAATACAGCTTCGCGCGTCTGAAGCGACCTCTGGACTAACACTGTCCAGGTCATCATCCTCGGAGACAGTGGGGTAGGCAAAACAAGCTTAATGAACCAATATGTACGGCTCCCCTGCATGTCCACAGCCCTCAAGCATGCGCATACTGGAATAGCATGTCTCGAAGCTCACACATATATGACAGGTCAACAAGAAGTTCAGTGCCAGCTACAAGGCAACAATAGGCGCCGACTTCCTCACCAAGGAAGTGCTGGTCGACGATCGGCTCGTCACGATGCAGGTGAGTGCGAGATGTTCGCTTTCAAAAGAGCTTAACTGACACAGAACAGCTGTGGGACACTGCTGGACAAGAGCGCTTCCAATCGCTCGGCGTGGCCTTCTACCGCGGTGCGGACTGCTGCGTGCTCGTATACGATGTCAACAACTCCAAGAGCTTCGACACGTTAGACAGTTGGCGTGACGAGTTCCTGGTCCAGGCCAGCCCAATGGATCCGGAGAGTTTCCCATTTGTACGTGCCAAGACGAGTTTGTAGACACTCGGGTACTGACTGCAACAGGTTGTCATTGGTAACAAGATCGATGTCGAGGAGAGCAAACGAATGGTAAGCTTCTCAGTCACACAAGAATGTGCAGCCGCTCATTTCATTTCCAGATCTCGTCGAAGCGCGCCATGACCTTCTGTCAGTCCAAGGGTGGCATCCCATACTTTGAGACGAGCGCAAAGGAGGCCATCAATGTTGAGCAGGCCTTTGAAGGTACGTCGAGCACAGATGCGACTCACGCAAGATCCATGCTAACTTCAATAGTCATCGCACGGCAAGCACTGGCGCAAGAAGACGTCGCCGACTTCAACAACGACTTCCCCGAGACGATTCCCATCGACCTCAAGGGCAACGAGGGCGGATGCGCATGCTAGTTCAGGGCATCACGCAAGAAGCGTCGTCTACGATAATCGCCTAGTATCTCTCGCATATTGGTTTCAATGGAGTTTGCCAGGTGTTTGGGGTATTTTGTTTCACATGACAGGAAGCCTCTTCTGCCTGTATTCTATCGCATGTCCTTGCAACATAGATAATTGCCTACCTACATAGTTGCCTACAAGAACAGTACACATATATCCTGAAGCTTGCTGCATGCGTGACCGTTGTGGTGCGGGCGCGTGATGACGCGGGGCTGTGGCTCAGGCGGCGCCTCAGGGTCCCCGGCAACCTGAGACGCGAAGGCACCCTGCCGAATGTCCGTGAAGCAACTCACACGACACCTCGACACCGCGTGCCCGTGTTCGTCTTCGGCTCCATCCTTCGTACTCACCCGCGGATCTTCTATGGGTGCTCCACTGCTCCATGCATCGACACGACCGGCAACCGTGAACTCCCACTCCGCCGAGCATCCTCCCTGAACCTACGATAACGACCAACTTTTACAACTTATTGTTAATACTGCAACACCATGGCGGTGGGCTATGAGATAGATCAGCCCTCGGCAGCGACACCGCTGAGTCCGCGCGTCAGCGACGTTTCCAACGGCAGCCGGTACATGCGCGAGAACGACTTTCTCGAGAGCCCGATGCGCAGCCCGGCGAGTGTGGTGAGCATGTGGAGCGAGGGCAAGAAGAAGATGAGTGGGAAGCTGCGGCATGCGATTGGGATAGCGCTGTTGCTGGCGACGGTGTTCTTGTGGACGACGAGTAATTTTTTGGCGAGTGTAAGTCATGTCATGTCAAGTCACGTCGAAGAGATGGGAGTGCTAACTTACGGGTGTAGACGATATTCGCAGACGATTCCTACTCCAAGCCGTATTTTGTTACGTACATCAACACGACCTTCTTCATCATACCCCTGATCCCCATGTTCGTACAGCACCTCTGGCTCGACCGCTCGAATGCCATATATCAAAAGCCCCTGCTCACCCAGCTATCCGACCTGCTATCCCGGCGGGCTGGCAAAATTTCCCTCCTACGAGACCACGAATCTTCCTCGTCCAGCATATCCTCCAAAGCCGCATCCCGCAGCAGCGACGCCGAAGCCGCCGAAGTTCTCCTGGGCTCCAGCACGCAGGCCTCGCAAGAACTCCCCGAAGAAGACACAGGCCTGACACTGAAAGAAACCGCACACCTCGCGCTGGAATTCTGCATCCTATGGTTTCTCGCAAACTACTTTGCTGCCGCCTGTCTCGAATATACCACCGTCGCATCCAGCACAATCCTCTCATCCACATCCTCCATCTGGACTTTGCTATCCGGCAGCCTAATGCGCGTCGAGCGCTTCACCGTGCGTAAACTCATCGGCGTGTGCGCATCCCTCGCCGGCGTGGTGCTGATATCCCTGGTCGACGTGTCCGGCGAAACAGACGAGAACCGCGGCTCCTTTCCACACAAGACGCCGCGCGAACTAGCCGTCGGCGACGTCATGGCCTTTGTATCCGCCGTGCTGTACGGCTTCTACGCCGTGTTCATGAAGAAGCGCATCGGCGACGAGTCGCGCGTCAACATGCCGTTGTTCTTCGGCCTCGTCGGACTGTGGAACACCATCTTGCTCTGGCCGGGCTTCTTCATCCTGCACTTCACGCGCATCGAGACGTTTGAAATGCCGCCTACCGGCAAGATCCTGACTATCGTGCTCGTCAATTCTGCGTCATCGCTCGTGTCGGATTTCTGTTGGGCGTACAGCATGCTCCTGACAAGCCCGCTCATCGTCACCGTCGGGCTCAGTCTGACTATTCCGCTCTCGCTTGTGGGCCAAATTGTGCTGGACGCGCAGTACGCGAGTATATGGTACTGGATCGGTGCGCTGATCGTGGTGCTGTCATTCGTGTTCATCAATCATGAAGACCGGAAGGATGAGGAGGAAGGGACGCAGCAGGGACAAGAGCCTGTTGTAGATTTGAGGGGTGGGTTTCAGAGTGTGAGGCAGAGCTTGAGTAGGAGTAGGAGGAATAGTAGCGTGAGGGGGAGCTTGAGTCGGAGGGGCTCGAGGGGGGAGGAGTAGATTTGCTTTTGAAACATTGCATTGAAGGTGTTTTGGGGCATAGAGCTTGTGTATGGTGTTTGGGAGGTTTGAGCATCGTACGCGATTGCTTTTTTTTGCATTTGCGAACCACATCATTATCATTTCATCCAAGATGGCATTCGTTTGGGTATATTCCAATCCTACTTCGAACAAGCTCACTCGTTTTTCCTCCCACCATTCATCCCCTTCGAATACCTGTTTCCCCCTCCTTTCCCCTTCCACCCACCACCCCCTTTCCCACCCTTCCATCCACCCTTGTAACTCCGATCCCTATCGCCCTCGAGCCTCCTCTCTCCCATCTTCTCCTTCCACGTCTCATCATCCTCCAGCTCTTGCACCTCCCAGCCTTCCTTCTCCATGAACTCTTCCAACTGCTTTTGTACCTGTGGTTCCCACACTTCCGGGTCTTTTTCCAGGTCGCTGAACTCGATGACGTTTTTGCCGAGCGTGTAGTCGCCTTGTCGCGAGCGGATGAGGGACGACATGAGGCCGAGGGAGGAGCAGGCGATACCGAGGTCGTGGCACAGAGAGCGGACGTAGAAGCCTGATGTTACGGTCATGCGGAGGCGCGCGGCGGGTGGAGAGGATTGGGGTGTCGTATCGTTGGCGGTCGTGGATGGGGCATCGGTGGGCTCGGGTGTGTGTGTGGTGGCGTCTTTTTGGGGTACTTCTTCGTTGGCCTCTGCGGGCTGTTCTTCAGACGGGACTGGTGCTTTGGTAGACTCTGCTGTCGTTTCCATTGTGACATCCTGCGCATCTTCTGCCGCAGCTTCTTCCGTGGGCAATGCGCCTGACATGGCGGGTTCACTGTCGGTCCTGGGTCGTTTCGGCTGCTCGCCAGCATTCTCAACTTGGTCGTTCTCCGGCGATCTGGATCTCTTCTTGGTGTTGCGAGAAGCGTTTTTCGCATAGGTGCTGGCATCCTGCTTCCTGATACCCAGCAGCTTCTCTGCCCCTTCCTTCGCATCGTCATCCGCCTCTTCCTTCGGCCATGTATATTCGTGGGTGCCAGGCTCGAGCCATTCCACGAGCTCCATATCCTTGACTTCGACAGGTCGCGCAGGCACCTCTGGTATGTCTTTTCCTTCGCGTGCGTACTCGTACATCTTCTTTCCGTCCACCTTGAGCGCCGAGAACACAGATGGCTTTTGCATGATCTTGCCTCGAAACTGTGCGAGCTTCTCTTCGACTAACTCTTTCGTGACATGTTCGTGCGGCGCTCTGCTCACGACCTTGCCGACCGCATCGTAGCTGTCCGTTGCTGCGCCGAAGAGTACTACGCACTCGTATGTCTTTGTGCACTCCAAGAACCTCTGCAAGCATTTTGTGCCCTTACCCACGCCCACGATCAGGACTCCAGTTGCCATGGGGTCGAGAGTCCCGCCATGGCCAAGCTTTACTTTCAGGCGCTCGATGTGCTTTGGCTTTGAGTGCGATAGCCTCATTTCGCGCCGTTGCGCTTCGAGCCAGGGCTTAAAAATGTCCGATTTTGCAAAGTGTTCTTGCAGGTCGCGCAACACACCCGCTGAGGAGGCCCATTGTGGCTTGTTCACGGCAATAATACCCTCCAGCACCCTGCGACTCTCCTTTGGTGGAGTGGCCATGGTGCGCTTGATTGTCGCGGCAACTGACATGTGTGTGTCGCGCGGGAAGAAAGCTAGAGCTCGAGCTTCAAGTTCTGGAAGCTGTCCCGAATGCCAAGCCGGGAGGCGCGCTAGTCGTCGCGTCGATCGCCTGTGCACGTGAAATCCGGCAGCCTTGCGAGCGTGCCGTCATCCAAACTTCTCCACGACCCCAAAGCTTAGGAATAATCCGCCTCCTACTACCCGAAACCTCCCCCAGGTTGCGCCGTCCTCAAGGCTTTTAATAATCCATCAGCTTGCACGCAAGCGCGACTGTCTGGTGTTCAATATGGGCGACAATAACAAAGATTTGGAGGACATTGCAAAGAATGCGACAGAGGATTTCTACGAACTACTCGGGGTGGCCTTCGACGCCAATGAAGCAGCGATCAAGAAGGCATATCGCAAGACGTCTATACGCTACCATCCCGACAAGAACCCCGACAATAAGGATGCCGCCGACCGATTTATTTACCTAGGATGGGCACGCGACATCCTCATTGACCCAAAACTCAAGGGCGAATATGACCGCTCACGTACAAGAAGGAGAGAGAAGGCACTGCAAGATGAGCTCCTCGACGGGCGGCGGAAGCAGATGAAGCAAGACCTGGAGCGACGGGAGCAAGAAGGCAAAGACTTCGGAAACAGCCTGAAAAGGAAGCGCGCGGAGGACATGAGCGAAGCGGAGAAGCGCGCACAGGAGATCCACAGACTCGCAGAGGACGGCAAGCGGCGGCGCAAAGAGGCGCAAGAACGACTCGAGAAGAAGCGCAAGGAAGAAGACGAAGCAGCCAGTTTTATCGACCTTGAGGAAAGCCAGCCCCAACCACAACCAGCCGCAAGCTCTACTGCCGAACTCGATCGTGCTGTCAAAGTCCGCTTCCAGCGCGAAGCCGAGACGCTGGAATGGGATAAGGACAAGCTCCAGGCCATGTTCACCAAGTACGGCAAAATCGATAGCATCGTCATGGGCAAGGACAAGAAAATCCGACCCTCGGGCGAGAAGCGGCGGAAGGTAGTCGCCATGGTGTTCATCGTCTACACGCGACTCGACCACGCCCATGCAGCTGTGTCCGATGCCCGGAAGGACTATCCCATGCTCGAAAGCGTATCATGGGCGAAAGGCGAACCAGACATCAAGTCGCCTGTCGAAGCGCCGTCAGCTCCTTCAACGCCAATATCGACGCCGAATAAGAGTTTCAGGGCAGCATTTGGGCCGGGCATGGGCAAACCAAGCACGACACCAATGGGCACGCCGAAGTTCTCGTTTAGTCCCAAAACGCCGAGCTTGCAGGAGGTCACCATGATTAGGCTCAAGGAGGCGGAGAAGAAGCGATTAGAAGAGCAGATACGGAAGCAGGAGGCGGCAGAAGAAGCGATGTAGTTTCGGTCTTGCGTATGTGTGTTTTGAGATACCCCCTTTGTAGATGTAATGAGCATGATGTGCCTGCATGTCTGCATGGTGACTGTTAAAAGCAGTGTGTACGAGCGTTTACTGGTGATGCGTGAAGTCCGGTTGAGCCACGTGGGCTCCCAGTAGTCATGCATCTCACCTTCCGCGTATGAATTGTCCGCGTAAAATCCACCTTGATGTATTTTGGCAGCGTATATGAAGGCCACATGGGGATGTAGCACAGTTCATTTCAACAGTCAGTTTTGCTAGTACAAGTAGGCAAGGAGAATGAGAATCTTACATCGTACTTGCATTTGCGACCGCAATCGTGCCAGGCATCCCGACCAAGCCATTTCATGAGCTTGTCCGTTGCTTCTGCATGACTCGCGAAGTCGCTGTCATCGCCGTGGCCAGAGACTAGTTCACGCAGAGGATCAAACAGGTTTGCAGTGTGGTACTCACTCATCTCGAAAACATACCATTCCCACTTGCACACAGCTTTCATAACCAGCCCAGTTAATTGTTTGATAATTATCTCGAAATCATTCAGAATCTCATGATCAATGTGTTGAGTGTGTAGAGTGGCGCATCTTGATATCGTCTTTTGTTCAGCTTCGGCTGAAGTGATCTCTGCAGTTGTTGGATATTCCAAGTAGGCATAGAGTATAGCGTGTCTGACCTTGGTGCTATTGTAAGATTCTTTCTATTAAAGCCTGCCAACTCATCTAAGAGCACTGAGCCCCTGCTCGATTGGTCGGGGCGTGCAGTTGTTTCACCCAGTCCTTCACAGTATCGACATCGGGCTTTGAGATATTTGTCAGTCGTTGTCCTTTCCAAAATCCCCATCCGTTCTGAAATGTACTACGATCACCTGAGAGACCACGGCCACGGTTGATAAGATTGCGCAGGTAAGGGTCGCAATAGGTCAAAAAGCTGCAAAGATCCAACTGGATTCGGGTTTCCTTCGTACTACTGGCATGGTTGGCCGAGACGCCATAATGCCATGTACCCCTTCTTATCCACTCCCAACTCCTTTGAGTTCCGAGTTCATTGCCGTATCCATGCGGAGATATACGATTCGGATCTTTAGGGAGCGTTGGATCGTCTTGGCGTTTGTGAGATCTTGGTACAGTAGTGTTGCTAGAGAGCAGCAATTCTACTCCAGCATTTTCATAGTCGCAAAGCAAGACCTCAAAGCCCGCGTTCATTCGCGCAATACCGTCAACGCCCAAATCCCGAATCAGGTTGCAGAGATCGAGGGCCCGTTGATCTTCATCGAACACCAACCTCTCGCTGGGGTCTTTAGAAATTCCACCCTGAAGCAAGACGATTTGCGAGTCTTGGGTACCCCGATACGTGAGCGCAGCTGCTTGTCCCTTCAAACTCCGTGTTGTCATCATTGTATATAGTCTTGGAGTTCCCGAGCTGCCGCAGATCTCGAGGGACATCTCGCTACAAGCCATTAGCACGAAAGGCTCAATTTTCGAACACCTTGCTTGATTTCCAATGGGGACACACATGCATCCAACGTAAAGAATGGAAGCACTTTTGGAGGCTTGTTATCAGGTCTGGGGTGATATAACAGGGGGGTGTTTGGTGGAACCGTTCCCATCACGATGGAGTGGCCGTTGGGGGAATATGTATTGGGCCATTGTTTGAGTAGCGAGTGGACCGAGTCGAAGATGAAGGGTGCGCCTGCGCGCAGCAGTCTTCGAGGTTGTCGTTGCAAGCGAATAGGCGGCGGGAGTCTCCATATTGGATATGAATGGATAGCTGGGCGACATCAGCCAGAAGTGGCAGTGGCACCGCGAGAAGCAAGCTGATGACATAAATCTACCGTCTCGAGCAAGAAGCTATCTGTTGAGTTTCTGGGAGGCCACTGAACGGTGAGCTTTCATCTTCTCCGACGTTTGAGATATCTGCATCGTGATGTTGGTCTTGCATTAATGCCGATGACATGATGGGTGTTTGAGGATTTATCTTATTGTTGGATAAGCAATCTGGCGTGTCCAGAATAGCTGTGCACACAGTCATGAAAATGACAGTTCTGTTTGCGAGCTGTATGTGCCATCCGCGGGCCGTTCGAAATTACACAACGGCCGCACATAGTTGCAGGCGGCCTTGGTGAGGCTTTTTCATAGCGAGGCGGTCGTTCTCGGCCTTGGAAACGAGATATGGGCGCGGTAGAGGACAAGGCGTCAACGTGGTTCTCAGAACCTCATATTCTGTGATTTTAACGTTTCCAATTATCGATTCTCGAGTAACAACAAGATTCCATGACTTTCAGCTATGATCTCCTCCGGGGTTTCAAGAAAGCTCGTGTGACAGTAATAAACATATTCGCATCAAAGAGCATCAGGTGTGTTGTTTTCGGGACGATGTAATGTCGATCTGTTCGTCGTAAGGTTTGCAACTCTACAGGAGGCTTACAGTTCTAAGGTTTCTCTGAAATTACAACACGCGCCTGAATTGATTCAATTCATGCTCTTAAATTCATAATGGAAGCGTCATGCTGCATGGTTGAGGAGATCATCGGTCACCAAAACAGCTTGACTGTCACATGGTGCCACCCGAGTCTCCTACGAGCGTGACTATTTCCCCGGAGAGTAGAATCAGTTTGTGAGGTAAGTGTCCTTGGTTTTGCGATGCTTCCGTTCCCGCCGGCTTGTTGACAGCCAAGCCTACCCCTCCTCAGCCTCACATGCCTAACGACGTCACCCTCCGGTGATACCTCGCATCTTCCTATTCCTAACATCACACTACACCAGCCACAATGTCCGACCTAGCTGCAGGAATCTCGAAGCTGAACCCCTTTGCGAAGAAGTCAAAGGTTGACGATGAAGACAAGGGTGAGGCTATCGATGCGGGGACCGTTGCTGGGGGCGGCCATGCAGCGCGTCGATCAGGCATAACCAAAGACAACTTGCGCGTCAGCACGGCTTTGAAGAAATATCTGGTGGAAGAACGCGTCTTGCAGGAGGCAGAAGCAAGCCTTGACTCGGATCAACCAACAAGCGCGTTACGGGAATTGCTGGACAAGAGTCACATCATTGTACCGCCTCAGGTCATCGACCGCAATCATCCACTCCCAGAGTATTTCATCAGCTCCTCACATAACACCTACTTGATGGCCCATCAGCTTTTCGGCGAGTCGCATGCCTCAGCTTATGAGATCGCACTATATACCGGTTCCCGATGCGTTGAGATTGACGCATGGGACAATGATGACAACAAGGAAGAACCAAAAGTCACTCACGGATATACTCTGGTGTCTAACATCCCATTCCGTACGGTATGTGAGACTCTTCGCGATGTTGTCGACAAAGAAGCTGCCGAGGAACGCCACGCTGCGCCGATCATGATCTCGCTTGAGAACCATTGCGACGCTCATGGCCAGGCTCGGCTTGCCCAGATCATGCGCGAGGTCTTCGGGGACCGGCTACTTAGTCGAGGTGTGCGCGAGAAGGGCACGCGTGAACAGGAAGGCTCTGGTGAGCACGTCACTTTGGCCGACCTGGGTAACAAGATCGTTGTCATCGTCGAGTACCATTTACCGAATGAAGTTGAAAGCAGCGACAGCGACTCCAGCTCCGATGATGAAGCCGAGAAGCAGGCCCGTCAGCAGTACGCTGAGAAGAAGAAGGCGACGAATGCTGGACTGATTGTGCCTGAACTGGCTGAGCTCGGTGTCTACGCACAGTCTGTGAAGCCAGTCAACAACTCCTGGTTCGAAGGCAATCTCGAAAATGCACCCCATCATCAGCTCATCAACGTCTCAGAGTCAGGACTCAAGGCTCACTTGCCAAGCAACAGTGCAAAGATCGCACGACACAATGCGCACCACTTAATGCGCGTCTTCCCCAAAGGCACCCGGATCTCTAGTAAAAACCTTGCACCAGTCCCATTCTGGGGTATAGGCGCCCAGATATGCGCACTTAACTGGCAAACTTTCGGGGCAGCCTCGCAACTCAACGAAGCTCTTTTCGCCGGCTCAGGCGGCTACGTCTTGAAGCCTGCCGCATTGCGCGCTGGAGGTGATGGGAACTTAAACACTGGACGACGAAGGAAGCTACGCCTACATGTTGCAGGTGCAACAGATGTGCCTCTGCCAAAGGACCGAGAGACTGACGACATCAAACCATATCTCACATGCACAATGGTGCATCCATCAGATCTGAACAACATGCCCGTCAAGCGCAAGACCGCTGGCTACAAGCCTCATAAACTCACCAGCTTTCTTCACAAGGACAACTCACCCTCCACGGACCCCATTTGGAAAGAGGTCCTGGAATGGGAATATGAGGACAACGAGCTGGTCTTTTTGCGCCTGCTCATCAAGAGCGATGACAGCTTTGCGCGGAACCCGATATTCGCCGTTGCTGCAGTGCGACTCATGTATGCCGCGCCAGGGTGGAGCTTCATTCGTATGTTGGATCTCGGCGGGCATGAGACGACGTGTACATTGCTCGTCAGGTTCGAGTTCGTCGACATCTAGGCGCGTCTCTATAGTGTCAACAACCGCGTAGGTTGCTACCTGAACCCGTTTCATAGATAGCATCCGCGAGATTGCAGGGCTCGGAAAGTGCTGGGAAATTTACTTGATTACGAAGGAGGATGGCTCTGACCGTCTCTGGTACTTAGTCACAAAATACGAGCTGCATTAATTACGATGTATTTTATACAAGTAATCTTTCGGAACTTTGTCCTCTTCAAGCACGTCGCGTCTCCACCATGTATATCTTCCATCCATTCAAGACAACCCTCGTCCATTTATTTGCCGCATACGTAGTTGTGCATGTATACGAGGTGCGTTATTGCGACCCATGTCTATGGTAGCTTGTGGGCGATAAAACGAGCATCGTGATGGGACGGCCCGCGCTCGTTCATGGAAGATTGCATCCGCCCCACAGACGAGCTAGTCACATGTGCGGTAAGGATCAACGACGCGCTTAGCCGCGACTGGGATATGAACAGGTTTCTGCTAGCGAGCGCAGAGTAAGTCGAAGCGCGGATGCAGGTTTGTGATGGAAGGTGCATCGATGTGTGGATTAAAACTCTATTACAATATGGTGGTGCCATGGTGATATGCTCTTCACGAGAGTAGATGGGCTGCTATGGCGTTCATCCCTTGACGTGAACATCCTCTCTTTGGTTTCCCTCGTGTCCTGCAGTTCCTTCAGCATCTCGTGCCCTTTGTCCGGGTGTCAGGCCTTCGCCCTGCAGGACATGATTCGGCACAACTGCTCCCTCCTCAGCACGGTCGTAGTTGGTGTCCTTCATGTGGTATATGCCCAAATAGTAGAAGACGCAGATGCCAATGACATAGAATAGCAAGATACCCCCGGCCTCGGCAATGTATGGAATCTTTATGGAGTCGAGGCCGAACACGATCGCTTCACCGGCACCAAGTACACCTCGGAAGACGCCTACGTAATGAGTGAGCTTTTGCGGCGAGTTGGTCAGGGCGCCGATCCAGTAGTAGACGATGTTGTGCCAGAGCTGTGAGAATACCCAGTTAAGCATAAAGAGTACGAAGATCCAGCCAAATCTCGGCTCGACCCAATCTGTTGCTATAGTCGGAGGATCGTTGCGGTCGTAGTTGCGCGTACGAATCTATCTGAGTGAGTACGTGATCCAATATGCTACGGGAGTTGAACGACCTACCATTTCCCATACCCACGCAATTACTAGAGGCACAGCAACACACGTAAGACCGACCATGCCGCGCTTGCGACGACCCCAACCCGGGTAGTCAAGAATCGCTTGAAGGGCCCACCCGGCAGGGATCTGTAGTACAACAGCAATGAACGAGAGAAGCGATCGTGTGCGGAGATTGTTGTTGTATGCTAGGATATGTCAGCTAAGTGGTATTGCGGTTGCTATTCGTCACCTACCATTCACCGATCCGCTGTACACCAAGAACCCCTCTGAGGGCAAGAACGCAGGCACCATCATAAGTAGGACCGGATCTGTAAAGATTAGAAGATTAGAACGCAACTCTTCCCAAGCGCTTCTGGGAGGGTCAACAGCCACAATTGAGCCATCATCTCTTGTGAGTTTTTGTGGTCGCAACAAAAGAAGCGTAAATAGGCCACCAATGATCATGATGACGATGAACGAGATGTAGACTGATCGTGGCACTCCTTCGACTGTCGCAGAGTTGCGGTTGATGATGACGGGAATGATGCCACTGATGACCGATCCCAGCGCTTGCATATTCATCAAAATCGTCGCGTAGCTGCCCTTTTCTCTCTCTTCCGGGTACCCGGTCGCAACATAACCTGCAGTAATGAAGACCATGCCAGCCCCGATCCCGATGATTGGTCCAGCAGCGTAAGGATATCCTTTTTTGCCCGTCTCATCATAGTACCACAGGCTGCCAACGTACACAGCGTAAGTTTGAACCCCAAGGCACATGGTGAGTCCAGGTCCTAGTTTGTTGAGAATCGATCCTCCAAAAGACGAGCTAAAGAACCACACGGCGCAAAGCGTTGCGTTAACCACTTGGACGACTTGAGCAGAATCGGGTCTTCCGCCTCCAGCTCCGAGGAGATTCAGTGCGACGTATATTCCAGCTGAGGCGCCAACCCCGACACCAGAGATGAGGTTCTGCACCCATGGCGAATGGTAGCGTAGTTGTGGGAGCCCAAGGAATCCCATATCGTCCTATTTCTTCGACAGCAATAAAAAATAGATATGAAATCGAATAACGGCGTTGGGTATTTAGCGACAGTGACGGCGTGGGGCACGGCGAGAGCTTTAAAGCAGCTACATGTCTCGCGTCCCCAGAGCTCCATCAGCGAGCTGCGAGCTGAAACGGGCATAAAGCGGATACAGGAAAGAGGTGCCGCAGCCAACTGGGGTTACTGTGCGAATACGTGCATGTGCCGATCGTCTCATCCAAGCTCGGAAAAGTTGTTGTATTCCCTTGAATCATTTAGCGTAACTTAACTTTGTCAGCCTAAAATCCCGTTCGTACAGCGAGCAATTAGCCTTGTGGGCCGTGCGTTTATCGAGCTTGCAGGGGACGGCAGTTGAAGCAAAACATTTGCCCAGACTCGACCACATGATCAAATAGATAAGATTTGAACTTGTCGGTCTTAGAGAAGAGGACCTGATACGAGATAATGGAAATGCGAGCGGGTGTATGTTGCCTTCAAGTTCCTCAATGCATTAGTTTTGCGCACTTTGCGTTATTAGGCGAATAGGCGTCCAGCTGAAATGCTTGTGTTGTGTCGTGAACCATGTAGTTCTTAGCGCCACCACGGCACGCGTTATGGAACCTGCTGAACCGAAATGACGGGTCCACCACGTGGAACGTGCTCGCCTTCATTGTGACAGGTTAGCATCCGCATGAAGCTATACACAGTAGAATGTCATGGCTATGCCGCCTAGCTAATCCCAAACCTGACGGCAACTGACATTGATCCTCTTGGTGCTCATATAGCCTCTCCACTTCTTGTATGCCTTCTCTTCCGCTGTTGTCGCGTTTGGCGTTCCGACAGGCCAGTTCGCTAAGTGTGGTGGACAAGTACTTGGGATCGTTCTGGCCATTGCATGCCATGCCCATCTCGCCTCTCCAGTAAGATGAACACAGTCACCGCTCTTGACACGAATCGCGACCGTCCGGGGAGCCGAATCGCCTTCACCGTCATCCTCGCCTCGTGCCATAATGAATATACCGTCACAACCAACACTGAAGCTAGCCAGTGCCCGTTGACATTGTTCACTGACGTCCCTATGTACTGGCATAAAGTCTTTGGCTGAATACATCAGCACAACTCCGGATTCGGGCTTGATGTGCGGAAAGAGCCCAGTAACCAGTTTTGACAAGTCCTCCGGGAATGGCGTAGCATGCTTTGCGTAGCTTCGTGTCGGCCAATCATACTGTTCACCCAAAGTGAGCCATCGAAGCTTGGTGTACAGGAATTGCTCCATGTTGAGAGTCTTCAGTTTGTTGGGCACGAGTGGTATGAGACAGTCGTCTGGAGAGGCTCTCTCTCGTGTGAAGAAGCTGCTGTCAAAGCGCACGGCTTCCGATGTTGGCTTTGGCGGATACTTGATGTCATACTCAGTCTGAAGATTGATTTTGTGGCCTGGATCGGCTAGATCGCGATGCATCAAGCACGATGTAAACAGAACCTGCGCCTCCGGTGGTAGGAGTCCGCATATGACCTGCAAACCAGGAAAATCTCGATGTTCAAATATAGGCGCATCATGATGTTGGGCGCTCAGAGGCTGACCCCCGGCATATGCTTCGCATGCTGCTTGGATTCGTGACGCAGGAATGATACCGGCTGGTCTCCAGATATCCTTCTGCTCTTCAGTGAAATTATGTCGCTTGCTTAAGTCAAAGACATTAGGGTCGCTCTCCAGGTCTGCTCTCCTCATGCTTTGATACCGCCAGTGCGCTTTCTGTATGAACTCTGGTGGCGTAGCATGAGTGTCATGATGTGCTGTGCCTTTCTTGGGGATGTCAGTTTGACCCGTTCAGTTTATGGTGATCGACATACGAACGGGCGAAGTAGCTTCTGTAGAGAGGTCCATGGCCAGAAGTGGCCGATTGGCGTTCGTGCGGGACGTCAGACCGGTGCAGCCACTTCGAAGCAAGCTACGATTCCGATATCTGAATAGTATGCTTAGGCTCTTCATGCAAAGCTCGAGGTCATAAATGGATGTTCGCGTGCGCCTTGACAATTGGTTGGCGTTCAGGCAGCAGACCTCGGGAAGAAAAATGCGGAAGTGGCCCATGCGTCCGCGTCCCGCTCTGGCCTAGTCCCGCAACTTCGACAGTCTTTCTACCAGCAGACTCCCCGTCACTTAACACAGTCTAAGCGATGAGAACGACTGAATGATATCGAGTGTCGCTATGTCGCAATACGGATGAAACGGCTACTATGGTGCGTGGTATGACACACCGATGTCACACGTCACCACCTCTTAATAGGGGCAGAGAGAATAACATCGTGGTGGACTGTCTTACTAAGAGACAGGCATCGTTTTAATGCCATTATCACGCTTACTCGCTACGTGTAGCTTTAAGACACCTTGATCACCACCTTGCCTACATGACTGCCCAACGCAAGGTATTCATAAGCCGCAGGTGCCTCGTCGAATGTGAAGATCCTGTCGATTATGGGGTCCATCTTCACCTGCTTTTCTCCCAGAAAAGCATTGAGAGCCTCGAAATCTGTTCTTGAACCGCCCATTACGCCCCTATACAGCGCGTCAATAGTTGTGACAGATTTGCCTGGGACCAAACTCACTGGAGCTTACACGCCTTGATCATTATTGCGGAAAGAACGTTTGGCGAGTAGTCCGCGGAAAAGCCTCCAAGGAATCCCACAAGAGCTACACTTCCGTTCTGCCGGACAACTTTCAAGTTTTCTGGGATGGAGCTTATGCCAATGTTGTTGAGAATTACATCGACGCCTTTACCACCAGTCAGCTTGAGCACTTCTGTTGCGACATCCGCCGTCTTGTAGTTGATGCCCCGGATTGCTGGATCTATCGTCTTGATCTTTTCTAGCTTATCATCGGACGAAGAAGTGATAATAGGCTTGATTCCTGCTGCGATACAGATCAGGAGTGTCATAAGGCTCACTCCGCCGGTTCCTGTCGCTTGGTCAATGTTGTCGAAGCTACTCTCATGAAAGCTAGAGCTTCACCTTGGAGCAGCGCAGTTGCGTCCTCCGGCACGTTGTGCAGTCCGTCCAGTACTCGCCATGCTGTAATCCCGGCGCATGTCAAAGTTGATCCCTGAGTACGACCTTTATTAATACAGACTTTCAGTGCTTTTGGCATGCTTAGCTTACTTCTTCCCAGGTCAAGTGCTGCGGTAGCTTGACCAGGACCTTCTCATGGAAGACTGCGTATTCCCTCAACGTGCCTGGTCCAGTACTGCCGAGGATGACATCGCCGACATCCCGCTCTTCACCAGTCAATATCTCCAGACCAATAGTTGGTGCTACGTGATCACCCAATGCAAATCTTTCGACACCTCTTCCAATAGCCACAACTTCAGCGGCACAATCAGAAGCAGATACGCCGCCGTCATCGACTGTCGCCGGATATTTACCTTCCTGAAGCATGGCAACATCACGATAGTTGAGCGATACAGCGTGGATCCGTATCAACACGTCCGACGTGTCTAGTGCCTCAGGAAGCGTCTCGTTCGAAAGTTTGAGGGTGCGTGGAAATGGTGTAGCACTGCGGCGCCAAGCGCGATACGTCTTTGGGTAGGACATGTTGTGAAAATTCAGCACACGTAATGTAGCTTGACGAGGTTCCTTTGTGCAATAGATGCAATAAAGGAGAGCCTCTCAGCTTTTATTTGGCTTTCAGAATACTCCTTGGCAGTTTCTTTCTCTACGACCACCTGCAGGCGGAGTTCCGCCTGTCGCTTACCTCACACGAGCTTACAAATGTAGGCGTCTAACTCCACAAATATCCTTTGAATACCGCAACATCCCATGATGGGCTCTTGCGTGGCGTTTCTCTGTTATTTGACAGTGGCAGCCTGTGCTAGGCAAAGAAAAGCCCCAAGACATCACAGCTAAAACCTCTCATGATCAGGGTACGTACACGGGCCCCATCGAGGAGATAGATCCTACGGAGACAGGCATGCACCTCTTTTTCATCGCGTTAGACGCGAACTTTGAGCTGAAAACCTTTTGCGAATTACGTCTGCAGCAGGATGGCATCCGTTTTGTTCTATGCTTATAGCAGGAGGTCGCACCTGGGCAGTCAGCAAGCATGATTTTACGCGTTTTGGAAGCTCATTGATAAAAGCCTAGTCTTTCAATGCTCTCGACTTTTTAGATAATTTAGTGTAAAGTCCTCACAGTGTAAGAGGGATGCGGTATGCCCTTGTATTAAGCCGCATATCTAGACACGGAACTGACTGCATAAGATCGTCTCGAAACGAGAACATGCCAGTTCAGTATCATAACTGCACTGCGTAAACCGGCCCTGAAACAGGCATCAAGCCTTTAAAGAAAATCTCTGTCGGTGGCCGTCGTCGTTGTGGTCGGACAACCGGGATCTCGTGGATCGAGAACACCTCCGCACTAACTAGGCAAGCGAGGCCTCCACCCATCGGAAGCGGGTCCGCCATTAAGAACGACAACTCCAACTAGAGACCGGTCCGCAACGTCATCGAAAAAGAACACACCATGGACCGATTACGTCTCCGACCTCATTCAGGGACCACCCGAGTAGCCGAATGCGGGGTGTTGACTTGAGAGCCTGTGGAAGTGGGGAAGTCAAAGCCTATTTGAATAAGATACCTTCTGCAACTGAATATAAGCTGCTTTAACCCTCTCCAGAACTTTGAGTATCGATAAATCATGGCTAGCATACTCAAAACCGCGCAAGATACGCTTGCGGAGGCTGCGCAAAATGTCACTGGTGGCGCCGTGGGCAATGAACACAAGTTCCCAGCTTTCGACGATCTGCCCAAAGTCGATGGAATGCCACAAGGTTGCATTTGGGGTTTTTACGATAAGGATGGAAAGAAGGACGAAGCTGGAGGTAAGCAAATTCATCATCGCAATCCAGGTCACGTGTACTAAAACATAATTGACAGCTGTTAACCTTCTCACCCAATCTGTCGTGCTAGCTGCTTCACGCGAGATCACTACGGGCGAACGCATCCAACTCGACTGGCCTCTCCACAATGTCCAGTTTCCTGGCTTCAACCGCAAGGAATTCCACCAAAAGAAAATCAACTTCACCGATTTCTCGGAATTCATTGCCATGGACGATGAAGTCTACATCAATACCCAGGCCGGATCGCAATGGGATAGCTTGAAGCACTTCGCTCACCAAGCAACCCAGACTTACTACAATGGTCTCACGCACGAAGAGGCTGGAAAGACGGATACCAACGGAACGCACAACTGGTGCGAAAGAGGCGGCATTGTTGGACGCGGTGTGCTATGCGACTGGCTGAGATGGTATGAGGAGAAGAATGGGAAAGCGCCAAGCCCGGTGTCGAGACACGAGATTCCGGTTGATGAGCTCGTTGAGACTTTGAAGTGGCAGGGAACTACCTTGAGACAGGGAGATATCCTCATGATCCGCAGTGGATATGTGAGATGGCACAAGTGAGTACAATCCTTCCAGAGAGTTTTGGAGTGGGCATGCTCATCTATGTTCAGTAATGCCGGCGAAGTCGAGCGAAAGTCTGGTACGCGCGACAACAGCGCTGCCATCGGCGTTCAGGCAAACGAAAAGACTGTCCGTTGGCTGTACGATCAACACCTAGCTGGTCTCGTTGGCGATACTGTTGCTTTCGAAGCATGGCCGCCGAAATTTACAGACGGCTGGTGCTTGCATGAATGGCTCTTGGTGCATTGGGGTATGTGTATGATGCAACTTGATGTTCCACTTGCTGACCAGCAACAGGTACACCGATTGGCGAGATGTGGGATCTCGAGAAACTCAGTGAGAGATGCCAGGCCATGGGTCGGTATACGTTCTTCATGACGAGCGCGCCACTGCACGTCAAAGGTGGTATTGGAAGTCCGCCTGGAGCTATTGCCATCTTCTAGTCTTCGGTTGCACGAACCCGGTTTTATCAATAATTGACTCGCTGTATTACTACGCTGCTATCGGTCCTGCCGCAATACTGAGCAGATTGTCTATACGTCCCGTCTTCGATCTCAACCCGTACCTTCCAGCAGCGACACTGAGCTTAGGCTGCTTAGCCTTTTTCCTCTTCTCTCGCTGCTTTCTTGATCTCACCTTTTTGGCCAGAGCGCTTTCATTTGGCGTGCGTCCACACCTGGTGAGGGCCCCAGGACTTTGTTTCCACGTCCAAACTTTCGCCTTGGAGTCAAATGTGGCGCCAAACTCAACCTCTGTTGGCACATAAAGACCTTTTAATTGCTCAGTAGTGGGCTTGGTTTCGAGCTCATCCCAAAATGCTTGGGTCGTAAGCGAGTGCATCCATGTCGGGTCCATGGGCAACGTTAAGTAGTTTTCGCTCCCGCGAAGTACCTCTACGTACTCACCTACCAGTTGCTTCACTACCGGCTGCCACTCCAACTGCACGCCCTGCCAGGGATGGACGACTGTATTTACCAAGACATTGAACATCTGAAACTCGAGTGCACTGCCTAACTCGACATTTTCGTCATGCTGTTGTAGCTCGAAAAATGGCTCTGCATAAGACTCGTCTCCGTCGGTCCGATCACGTGCATAGAATGCGTGGCCTGTTTCATGTACCAAAGAGGTAGCAAGCGAGAATGTTGCGCGAACCAAGTCTGAAGGTGAGGTCGGCTCACTGTCTCTCCGTCTCCTAGCATACGAAGTGAACAATTCCGCGTAGGCTTGATTGATGAGTAAAAAGTGGAACTGGCCATTATCTTCAGGTAGCTTGTCAAGGCCATCACGGATGAAGTACTCTTTTCCGAAATGGTGGTGCGAGACACAGTGCACGGCGTGGGTCTGTGGCTCAGTCTCTGGATCTTCTGAAGATTCTGGCTTATTTGGGGTTGCAGCAAACAGCAAGCGAAGCTTCCGGGCCAAAAGCTCGAGGCATCTTCTTACCTCATTTTCCTGTTCTCCCACATCTACCGGCGCCTCGTAGTGTAAGTACATACGCCCGCCTCCCCTGCGCTCAACACCATATAGTATCCGTCTGAAGAAGGATAAAGCAGGCTTACTTAGCAGCATTTTGGAGGCCAATCTGAGAACTGGGGAGAGTATCTCCCATGAGTCGTCTGGAATGTCTTGCACCCACTGCTGGCGTGCAAATACTGGATGGATTTCGTTGGTCAGATCGCCCTCCTCTGGATCTGAAATGTCAGCTTTCCTGCCACACCCTGCTTGATGGAGCTGTGATTCCCATGCTCCAAAGTCCGGGTTGTTCCAAAGGACATTTTTCCAGCCTCGAGTGAGATATCCATCCCAATCAGCGTCACCACAGTCATAGTGGCTGTAATTAGTACTCCTTGGCCTTTTATCGCCGTCTCCGTCTTTTGTAGTCCTAGGACTGTTGTTGCCGTCTTCGTTAGACATGCTCCTCTGACAATTCAGCAAAAAGAGTGCTTCAGTCCAACGATGTTTGTGATATGATCGTTTCATGTAAAGGAGGTTCATCTCGGGCGTTCGGTTTGACCTAATTGTATTCATAGTAGGTTCACACAGACCAAGAAAGAAATCGCACAATGGCATTGTCGAGCGTCATTTTGTTCACGAGCACAAAGAATTGAATTCACAGGATACACAGTGTTGAAAGTCAGTGGACCATTGCGTTTTGGTATTTTTTTTTGGGGCAAATCTTTATGCAATCACTGGACGACATCTGACACTGTGAGCTGAGAACTCTTGGAGATTGATGAAGGTCGCGCTTTTACACTCAGATTTGAATATACCTAGTTTTACAAGCTGTTGCACGAGCATTTCTTCCTCAAAGGGACCAGGTTTCGACGCGCACTCAGCTGGCGAGAGAGAAGGAGATCAGTGAGTAATATTGCTAACGATTGTTATCTGAACATCACGTGCACAACTACTAAACCAGAATGCACGCCTTTCTCAGGATGCACAACCTGCGAGAGCACTTTTCCCAAACAACACTTCTTCCAGCGCGAAACTTAATTCCCCGCCACTCTACCCGTTGTTGAAATGAGTAACGTTTAAATATGGCTCTTCATATCCTTCCCTGCCATCAGAGAAATCTCGAGCGTAGAACGCATGCGCGGTTTCGTGCACGCGTGTAGCCGCCAGACTAAAAGCAAACCTTGCGGCCTGTGCGGGCGAGGGATTAGTATTTTCGGCGTAAACGGCGTACGCTTCGTTGACGACGATGTATTGGACGCGTTTATCGTGGCGGGCTGGGAGAGCGGATCTGTCGCCTTTGATGAACAGTTCGGTGCTGAAGGATGCTTGGGAGACGTGATGTATCGCACGCGTCTGCGATGTGTGCCTGGCTTCGGGTTTCAGCGCGGCGAAGAGGATCCTGATGCGTTTGGAGAGCTTGTGGAGGTCGGCTAGGACGGCGAGGTCTTGACTGACTGTGTCTTCGGGCGCAGTGTAGCAAAGGAAGTTCTGGTCATTTTGACGTGTTAGATGGCCGTATTTTACATGACGGAAGAAGGCTGATGCCGGCACGGTGGTGATAAGCTTGGTGGCGATGTGTAGCGCTGGTTCGACGAGACTCCATGTGTTGTTTTGGGGCAGTGGAAAGTCTTCTAGGATCCAGTTGCGGGAATGGCATATGGGATGGACTGTAGTCAATAGGTTATGGACGAAGGGGCCGGATTTGGTCGCGTCACACTGAGATGCTGAGAGTTTTGCTGCTCAATGTTTCTTGTTCAGATGCACATTGTCAGAGCCGTGCTTGAAGCATTCATCCCACATGTCTTTGTCCGCGCAATTATATGGTCTTTGTGTTGTGGTTGACATGAGTTGCGCCTTCTTTGTTCACTTCCTTGGTAAAGGTTGCCCGAGTCTACCTCGACTGTTATTTACTACAAGTGAAGAATACAGGACTGGAAGATCTGGCAATTCACCAAAAGCTTTCAAAAGCTGTGGTACGTTCACGATACAACCTTTCATCATTGTAATATTGCGACGCTGAATCAACCCATGAGGTTAATTATTCAACACACAATGTCGTACCAAGGCTATGAAATCAGAGTCATGATCAACGTCGTCTCGGCCCTTGTTGGCATGATGTGATGGCGTTAACGATGTGCGTGTGCGATTTTCTTGTGGACTCAAAACGATTTCAGTCTAGTCTGGGCTAGCACGTGTTCTCTACATACAACGAACTTTTCGGAGTCATTGCGAGGTATTTGTATACAACAGATAGCTATACAAGGTTGATTATCTTTCGTTCGTGATATGTATGAGTGTGGTTCGGAGGATCTTCCATGTCGCGCGGCATAGCGGCCATCCACTGCGTCCCGCTAAGCACGGTCCAGGAGCAGGGTTGATGCCGGTGGTCCATCTCAGGGTCTCATTCGAAGATGCCACACCGTGGTGGTCTGACCAGTGTGCATACCCGTTGTGCTATGCAAAAGACACGTTTCTGACATGGCGCCATGTGTCACACTGAAAGCCCGCTATCCACAGCCTCGGAGTTGCAGCCGCTGTTGAGACTTCGAAACAGGCTCTGAGAGCGAATGATCGCCAAGGGCGGCAGATCCCATTTCTAGGATTTGCGTCCTGCCAGGGCACAATCCCAGTTTCGCATCTCGATCACGATGTGGAAGACGGCGTCTGCGTGGGCGGCGCTGGACAGGTACCAGTAGAGGCGTAGCGTTTGAGTATGCAGCGAATCATCCGATCATTCGGGAGAGAGGACATTGTGAATGTGAAGAATCAGTGTCGTCATTGTGAAATTCGAGACGGTGTAGATAGCGTGCATTAGCCACAGTTATGCCCAGGTGCCGATATGCTAAAAAGCTTGTCTCGGGAACGTGGCTTCCTTCCGAGAATATGCACAGGACGTGCCTTCCCAACAAGAATCAGAAACTCGGTGTGGTCGAGGGAATGGTGTTGAGCAGCATGTATGGAGGAAAGCAGCACTTGAGGAATGGCACATGTGAAGTCGTCCAATGCGAAAGTGCAATGTCATCTCCACAAAACATGTTGTTTGCGGATTGTGGCTGACGGCGGAGACCATGACGCAACCGGGGCCAGCTGAAGGATCCTGGATGACGATCGGCTGCATTGAACCCCAATTCACCCACCAACACCGTCATGGACATCCAGGGGGTGCTTTTTGGAGCAAGCCTTGTCTTGCGCTGGCCCGTTCGAGCAGGATCTGGCAGTGGGCGACACATCAGCAGGGAAGCGCCACGACCGCAAGCGCCTTTGGTGCGTCCGCGGCTCGATCATGGCTGCTCGCCCAGGCCATGCGGGGTGTCTAGACAACAACAGGCTCTTGAGGAGTCGTGAAATTTGTACTGACGACGCGTGTATGACGTAACCTCTGGCAACTGTGCGACAGCACAATCGGGAATCGCGTGCCACGGCAACCACCTCCCACCACCCCAATAATAAAGGCCTGCCCGCACTCCCCTCGCTCGCCCTCACCTACTCTGATACCCACCACCTCGCTCCAACAACTGAACTCTCTTCCATTGTTTCAGCGTTTGTTTATTTGATACCCCACTTGATACCCAGCATCAGATTTGACCACACCCCTCAATCATGGCCGGCTCGAAAGCAGTCAACCGTACGTCAATTGCGCAATTGCTGCGATGATGGGGCTAACAGTACACAGGTCCGGTTGACTTGAAGCAAAAGGAGATCGACGTCAACAACAAGCTTCAACTGTTTGGCATTTTCCAAGGTATGCAATGCTGCAGCGCACCCCACATTCCCCAACACAAACATGCGCTAACTTGCCGCTTCTAGCCTTCTCAAATGGCAAGGTCCCATCCAACAAGCAGATTGACGTTGCGCTCAACTCGGCGCTGGCAGCAAAGCCGCTCAGCACACCCTCAAAGAAGCTGTCAAGCGAGGGCCAGAAGCTCGTAGGCGACCTCAAGACGGTCATCGAGCAGGCCAAGATCCTGCTTCTCACCAAGAACGAGGGCAACCTCCTCCAGGACTTCATCTGGCAAGCAGAGCAGATCACTGGCGCCGGCACCCAGTTACCCGGTGCGCCAATCGACAAGGACACCGCCAAGCAGCACGGTAATGAGGCGCTCGATGGTCTACGCACCCTCGGCACCCTTCTGATCTCCAACGGTCAATTCAGAAAGCTTCTCTCTGATGCCTCTGTACTGCTGCGAGACATTGCTGGCGATGCCGCACAAAACACCGCCAACAAGGTCAAGCCATCTGAGGACAAGCTCAACCAGATTGACAAGCCCGCTGACGACAACACCTGGCACGACACCCCAGAGCTGTCCGCAGAGAAGCTCAAGGCACAAGCCAAGCAGAGCCTTCCCTTCGGAAAGGGCGATGCTAAGCAGGCCGCCGGCGATATCAACCAGGCTGCCCACCCAGAGGGCTCACGTGATCCCCGCGACACTGCCCAGCTTGGTGCTCATGAGGGCCAGACTGGCCAGTCCACTGGCCTCAACGCTCAGGCTGCTCTGAACGTCGCCAAGGACAAGGTCGACCAGAACGTCTCAGAAGAGGACAAGGACAAGGCTCGCGCTCGCCGTGACCAGCTGAACAACTACCTCAAGGGCAAGATGCCTGAGGAGCGTCGCGACCAGACCATTTGGCGCCTGAAGAAGATGGTGGTTGAGATCCAGGGTCACCAGGATTACCAGCGCGCCATCGAGACTCTTCTCCGTCTCGCTGAGCAGTACACTGGCCACACTAAGACTGTGACCCAGCAGGCCACAGGAACCGTCAAAGGTGCGCATCAGGACGATGCTTTGAAGACTGCTGAAGCTGACCTCAAGGTACGTAAAACAGGGTTCCATTCTGACAATGCACATTGGCTGACAAACATCAAGACACTCCTTGAGCGCTTTGCCAACAGCACCTCATTCGACGACCTGATTGAGTCTATCAACCAGATCTACAAGGATGCCGACCGCGACCCAGAACTCAAGAACTGGTTCAAGCGCATCGATGGTTACATCCGCAAGGTGCTCCAGCAGCAGGGATACATCCTCGAGGACGAGTCCAACGAGGAGTGGAACCGCATCTACGACCAGGGTCACGACTTGCTCCGTGGCCGTTACCGCGGACACACTGACCGCATCGCTGATGAGTTCAAGTACATTGGCGAGCAGTTCGACGCCGACCCACAAAACAAGGCCTTCGCCGATTCCATGAACAGGCTGTTCAACGACCTCGGCACCGACGACAACGGCAAGACCGTCTTCAAGCCTCACCTCCTCAAGGACATCACCGATGTCATCCTGCCCGGCTTCTTCGAGAGCGTCCAGTACATCCCCATTCCTCGCATTGAGTACAGCGACCCGATGATCGACGCTGTCGTCGAGAACCTTGTCATTGAGGGTGACAACCTTGCACCCAACGTCTTGGAGTTCGGCTCTGACAACTACTGGCGCTGGGGACGCAAGTCGATCACCAACAAGAACAAGAACAAGGTCATGCTGTCTGTCTCTGGTGTACAGATGGACCTGCGCGATGTCTCCTACTACATCAAGCGCAAGCAGGGCTTCCCTTCCATCACCGACAAGGGTGTCATGGACATCTTCATGGGCGGTACTGGATTCAGCTTCAAGGTCGAGATGGAGACTGCTGACCGCGCTCGCGAGAACAACGTCCAGACGCACTTCTTCAAGGTCAACAAGATTGAGACCGACATTCAGAACCTTCAGATCAAGTTGAAGAAGAGCAACCACAAGCTCCTCTTCAACATGTTCAAGCCTCTCCTCCTCAAGGTCATGCGCCCCGTCATCCAGAAGGTGCTCGAGAAGCAGATCAAGGACTCTGTCAACCAGCTCGACGGTATGCTCTACGATATCAAGGTTGAAGCCGACAAGGCCGAGGCTGAGGCCAAGCGCAACCCCGACCCAGAGCACCTCCCAGAATATGTACCAGCGCTACGCCTCTGCCGCCAACTCACGCATCATGCAGGGTAAGCAGAAGAAGGAACAGCTCAAGGAGAAGACCAAGGACACCCAAGTCAACATGGCCGTCACCCAGCACGACTCCATCTTCAAGAACATCTCCCTGCCCGGTGGTATCTCATCCAAGGCTACTGAGTACAAGGAGCTCGCAGCCAAGGGCGACAAGTGGGAGAGCCCTATCTTCTCCATCGGTTCCGCCAAGGAGAGCACTAGCCTGCCCACCCTTCCCAAGGTTACCCGCAAGCCTCACGGCCGCGCTGGTGGTTACGGCTCAGACATGGGTTCAGCTACTGGCGCTCCTCAAGGCCTCGGTGCTTCTCAGGGTCTCAACCCCGCCCAGGGCGTTAACCCATCTGGTTTTGATAGCACCAGCCAGTATGGTACTACTCAGTCTGGCGCCGGTCTGACTGGTGGCCTTCCCGCTACCTCTGGAACTGGCGCTGGTCTCGTTGGCGGTCTTCCCGGTACCCAGCAGACAGGCGCCCCTGGCTTCGCTGGTCAGGTCGACAACGCTTTCTCCAGCACCAGCACTGGCGCTGGTCTCACTGGCACCGGCGCTCCCGTCACTGGTGCCACTGCCGCCCCGGGAACCGAGCCCAACACCTTCCTCTCTTACCGCGAATGATTCGGCCGCGTCTAGATGAGATGCGTTGCGTTATGCAAGCTTGATCATGTTTACGACTACGATTACCCTTTTCTTTGGTTGCTTTTGACCTGATGATACCACGTACCACATGGGTAAAATGGCTTTGCTTTGGATGTCCCCTTTAACGGCGGCGGAGCATCGGAGATGGATAGTGCTTGGTAATGAAGTGGATGCCTTAGGGCTTTGGGAAGAGACTAAAAGTGTATTGCTCCCCGTCTGTAGTAATAGTTAATGCATATGTGCCTTCAACGTTCTCCTCTCAAGCTTACATCTGTGACTTGCCAAACTTAAACAGTGTACTATTGACCTTTATCATTCAGCTTTGCTCACCGGCCTCTCCTTCAGCATCATGATGCTATGATGTTGATGATCATGATACTCGTCGAGCATGCGGCCCACCACCTTCATGGTGTTATGCTATTTCATCGTAATGATGGATCAATTGATATTGCGCACAGAGCAAAGAATCTGTCACACATGCATCACGGGAGCTAAAAATCGTCCAGTGGTCTGGACATCTTCATAATGCAGACAAGGCTCTGCTACATCACGAAAGAGCTGCGTATTACTCCAGGACATGTAATCAGCTGCAGCTTATATGTGACATTCAACTGAGTCATGTCTCGGCAGCAATTGACTTTCGAGAAAGTAGACATACATATATGCGAGGCTAACATCAAGTTGTTTGTAACGCAGTTCTGATGTAATAAAAACAGAGGAGCAAAAATCTGCTGCTCATAAAGCCGTGTGGCTGGATTTTAGACGGAGAGGCGGCATGTGAGTCTCACACTCAAATATTCATGTGAACACTTTCCAAAACATGTAGAACGTCGTTCGGCAATTTTGAATTTCCTAGATGCAGAAGAGATCATATGTAAGATCCGAGCGCTGTTTGGTGAGAGAAGATACGTGCACTGCACGATCCTATTATGGAAAGAGGGTGTCAGCAGAAGTTGCTACTTATATTCGTTTCGAATAGCGCATTGAGCAGCGAACCATGAAGTGTTACCACCCTAATTTTGATGTGGACATGGTCATTGAGAATCGAGGGCGTGCACGGCGATGTTCGATTCTCGAAACAAAGAAGAGAACGTAGCTAATTTACCTAGAGATGTTTGGTGGGAGAAATTGTACGCACACATGTTACGCCGGCATGACGAGTTATAGAAAGCACAGGGCAAAAGTCGTTGCGCGTGTGTCGGTGTTCAGGTGCTTTGGAAAGGAGACAGAAGACGACATTGAAACTTAAACTCGATGTTTTGATATGATCATCAAATCAACATTTGAACCGATAAACATCATGGCCGCTGCATATCCTTAGTCCTTGCTGGAGCGATTTTGGAAACAACAGAAGCGGCGACACGAACGTTTCTACACAAGGTTTTGGTGTGCGCAACCCTCATGAGATTGGCAAACATGGTTTATGCTCACTGCTGATTTTCGTCCTTAACATAAGAATGCTCATGTTAGAGACTGTCTTCATTTTGGTAAACGAGCTAATACGATCGTGTTGATGAAGCAGTGTGGGAGCGAAAGTCGCAACTTATGTGTACAGGCCTAGCTCATTTGGAAGGGAGGAGAAGGGGCATAGTATCTCGACTTCAGCCTCTTGATGTGAACAACTCTCAGGAGAATTCTGGATATGCATGGGGGGCATTGCCGTCTTTGGTTCCCGAGACAGGAAAAGATCATGGGCCTTGGCTTATGCGATTTTGGTGGGACAGGAGACAAGCGTGGTGCAGAAACGAAATGAGGACACAATTCAAAACTCATGTAAACGTCGCTAGATTAGTATTGAATGCGCGAGGCAGCGACATAGGTCCCTTCCACTCATGATTTTGGATCGAACATGCGGCGTGTTCTTCACGATAAGACAAGAGGCAGATGATAACAGATAGAGTTCGATGTTGGGCAGATGTACAGCCCGGATATTGCTGATTTAGACCTGCCGCCACTGGAAAGAAAGCATACCATTTCATATCCTCCAATTTTCGTGCGCGAGAGAGAAGATGGACACGCATAACGCCACTACCACCTTGTTTTCAAGCAAAAGCGCAGAAGAAAACGTCGCAACTTCTTAGTATAATTTCGGAAAGAGTTGAAACGACATAGAGTGTCCCAAGAGGTGTTTTGATATATGCAAAAAATGTAGACTTGAATGAACGTTGAATAAGCAGACGTCTATTTTCAGTTCTTCAGAACGTAGAGGAGAGCATAAAGTAGAGGAGAAAGTGTTTTTTTGGAGGCGGAAGTAGACCTAGACACATATAGCTGTTCATAGTACTTTGTAAGCAGGACAGAGAAGAGAAGTTCGTTACTCATATCGTCTTGTTCAGCGACGTTTTCGAGAACCGGTCAGAGCAATGAAGGCCGGAGTATATATTTTTGGAGAGACATAGATAGTGCACGCCGCCAATTTCGTTCTCCGCGACACAAAACACAGCGTCAGGTTGATCGATTGCCAGTTTTGGTGGCGGGAGAACACGCACATGTAGGAGCGATACCACAGGAGTTGTGGCTTAGTAATAGGTGTTGTCAAGATTTCGGGAAGAGCAGCGACGGCGAGATAAATTCTTTCGTTCGGTGTTCTGGTATAATAATTTGTTTAAGAACTGTGAGGATATACGGAGGCCTTGCAGCTAGTTTGGTTCTTTGAGACAGCAGAGAAGAGCATGTCTCGGTGTCTCTTGGTGTTGGGGGCGGAAGAAGAGCAGGAAACACACAACACACTGCCCTTGATATTTTAGGTATGCAGAAAGCCAAAGGTCGCTGATAATTTATAGCTTTAACCGCGATCATGGAAAGGGAAGAGGAGACGACATGGATCTCCTCGGGTTAAGTTTTTGCAGTTTGAACATGGTTCGAGTTCTACAGGATTGGAGTTGTACAGACGTAGCAAGAATGAACATTAAAGTTCGATTTTATACTCGCGACGCAAAGAAGAGCATATTACGCTCACTCCTCTTTTTAAGAGGCGGGAAAAGTGGCCGGCACACATGCAGGCGCCCAAGGTCTTTTTGGCAACCCAGAGGCACAGAAGTCGTCGATCATGCAAAGACACGATCGAAGTTTTAGGAAGAGTAGGAGAAGCACATACCCGGCTCCGGATCGTCCTCTTGATCTAGATAGGTGTAGATGTGGAAGAAACAGAGAGTGACGTTCGGGTTTTATCCTCGTGAAACCTAGAGGAGAGCATGACGTTGGAGATCATAGATATTGAGGCGGAAGAAGGAACGGGACACGCATGGAGTTGGCGACATAAGTTTTTCGAGACATTCTTTTTGGTATTTGAATGGGCCGGAGTTGGATAGAAATGGAAGAAGCTAAGAGTAACGTTCACTTTTATATTCGCGCAACAGAACACAGCATGCTGGCTGATCTTTGCTCTTAGATTTGGGAGGCGGAAAAAGACGCAGCCAGGCATAAGCTTTGCCTGCTTAAGATTTCGATATGAGGAGCGCTGGAGCAAAACCTGAAGCTCATACATATTCGTGGTAGTTTATTTTGGGAGAAGACGAACAAAGCCCGCTGCCCATAACATTTTGGCAATTGTATTTTTTTCAAAGAGCAAAGACGAGGACATGTTCCGTTTACCCCACCACTTCCGAAAGAAAGAGCAGTGGAATATTGGCAGACATTCAAGTTCTTTATGGCGATTTTGGAGAGCACAGAAGCAAAACGCTGCTCATACATGATTGTGGTGTTGCTTTAGGATCGAGCAAAGCACAGGCAGCAACATCTCTCGCTTCATCCCGCGTTTCCATGCCGTTGGAGTGAGAGCGCGGGAGGAAAACTCTGCTCATTCGCAGTTCGCAAGAGTTTCTCGAAATGGCAGAGCCGGCGACATGTCCAGATCATCCCACCGCTTTCATAAGAAAGAGCTGCGCAAGCTTTGCGCAACATGGAACCAAACAGGTGCGAGTTTAGAGAGTCGACGCGCGGACGGCATAGTTCGGTGTGTTCAACATTTTCATCATATGAGGTATCATAAATCTGGAATGTCGGCGGGACATGCATCGGATACACGGTAGTTTCAGGAAGAAGAGGAGAACGTCTCGATTTCTGGTTCGGTGTTTTTAGAGGACAGGAGAGGCGGACACATTCGTCGCGCAACGTCTCGATCCATTGTGAAAGAGCAGCGGAGACGGGAGGCATGGAACGATCGAGTGCTGCTTTTGAAGAAGAGCGGAGGGAGAGGAGAACATCTTATGCTAAATGGCTGATTCTGATGGTCGAGGGACGAAGCAGAACATGAAGCTCTCTGATGGTGATTTTGGTTTTCGAAAGAAAAAAAGGGAAAGACATCGTGTGAGCAGATATGAGTTTTGGTTTTCGAGCACAGTAGATGTGGGATGAAGGAGAAGAATCCTCAACGTGAGAATCGATTGACTTTTATACCTGCCCTTATCCCACCATCTCATCTCCCCCCAAATCCTCCAATCTACCCGTTCCACACCCCACTACCTCTTCAACGTCTTCTGTTTCTCCGCCTCAACCTTCCTCTCCATAACCCTCAGCCCCTTCCTTCTCCGCACGCCATCCACATACCTGCGCGCCACATTCTCACGATCCGCAAGTTCCCCCAAATCCTCCAACTGGTCCTCGGTAAACGGTACCCAAAACGGGTCTTCATCCAGAATCTCAAAGCCCGCAAACCTCAACTGCGGACTCGCACTACCACTACTCCTCTTCCTGATCTCGTCGCTGAAGCCAAAGGACTCGGCGACGGGGATATGTGCCGTGATGGTGAAGGTTTGATTCCCCGTCGTGCTCGCGGACGTCGAACTCATCGTCTCGCTCAGAATCGTGCCGCGCCGGCGCGTGAGCACCGCGTACACGCGGCCCAGCACGTCTGTGGATGCTTGGATTTCACACGTGTACATGGCGAGCAGCATGCGCGGTGACCAGTCGAGGAAGCCGGCGTGGATCGAGGAGCGCACGGCTTTGATGACTTCGCCGGTTAGGCGGCCGGAGGATTCGTCGGTGGTGGAAGTGTTGATGGACACATCTTCGAGAAACACGGCGATGCCTTGGATGGGCTCGGCACAGCAGGGACCCTGGGCTGTGGCGAGTTGGAAGGCGTAGATTATGGTTGAGGCGAAGGTATGCGCGGAGATTGTGTGGTCTGGGGCTGAGGGTGTGGTGGTGTCAGGAGTGGAGGATTCGCGGAGGCTGGAGAGGGTTAGTTTGCGAGGTTTTGGGGGGTGCAGGAGAGCTTACACTTTGCCGCAGATGCCGGCTTTCGTTGCATCGACCAAGATGTTGGGACCTATTCGGCGTGGGCCAAAGGCTGTGATTTTGTCGATGACATCTGTCCATATTTCCTTCTGGCCCTTGGCTTCCTCGAACGCTTGCTTGAGCTGCTTCTTAAAGTCTACGAGGCTTAAAGTATGGCCCATCTCGCGCTGTCCGCCCTC